GTGGTGGTGGTGGGCGCGCAGGGCCATGGAGCGAGGGTGAGGCCCACACACACACACAAATCAGCTTATTTTAACAATATGCAAACCACACTTGCCACTGGTCGTCTCTCTGCTCTCCATTTCGGTCCTTATAGTAGTTCCCCTTTCCTCATTTAGTCGCCTTACTCCCTCTTTTCCACGTTCACTGCCGTCCCACTCTCACTCCCGTTATCATTCGCACCTTCTTGTCCTTCCTCTCCTTCATTCTTGCATCTCCCTCAACGTCTTCTTACATGACGCAACTTCTACAGAGGCACAGCTAGTTTACGTAGACGCGCTATGTTTTGGCAACATTCACGTAGTCCGCAACAACCGCTCTGCCACTTTCTTAACATCAACTCCTTCTCCTTCGTCTTTGCATTCGGCTCACTGTTGTAGAAGGCATGACAAGAATCCGAAGAGGCATTAGGAAACTGATGGTAGCCATTGGTAGCCAACTGGTACCCGCGCAACTTCGCCAACTGGTGCATACGCAAAAGGGACGAAAGGCCTAATCGAACGGAGAGCAAATTTTGGCGAGCGCTTCCGTATGTCAAGAACGTTTCGGAAGCTGTCGGCCGTCTTATCGCATCACTTCGGGTTGGAGTTACACACAGACCGGAGAAAACCATCGGGCATCAGTTAATGAAATTGAAAGACCCACTGCCACTGTAAGAAACGTCTGGAGTCCTTAATCGGATCTGGTCCAATTGCGGACAAAGTAATTACGTCAAAGAAACTGGAAGACAGTTCCGAACGCGAATTGCCGAACACGCTGCGGCAGTGCGGAGAAATGACGCCAACTCTCAAGTTGCGGCTCATTCGACGAGATCCGGCCGCACATTAAAATCCGACGAGGCCGAAATTCTCGCAAGAGGTGACAACCCCGTGAGCCGGAGCTGCTTAAGTCATGGTTCACTGCCCCCCAGATCATTAACAAGTGCAATGATCTTCCCCTTCCATACTCAGTGCTGAGACTTCGCCTAGGCGGAGTAAGTAGCCCCGCGGGGAGCGCACAAATGAGCACTGTCCCCAACGCTACGGCCGGTGGCTCAGATTGTCGAGCAATCATCAAACCAACATCCAACGCACGTGATGAAATTGCGGCAATTAACGACGTGAATGTCGGCCATCACACCACGTGCAACGATCCCTGATGAAGGGGGAGCCGTAAATATTCATAGGTATGCGGTAGCATGGTGAATGCATCCTATAGATACTGCAGCCCCTTGTGCATGAACCACCCGTATCTGCTTTTGCCTCTGATGATGGGTTCGAGCAGGATTTCGAAACGTCAGACTAATAAAACTCTTGCCCCAGCAATCGTGTCTCCTTCTTTAATCTTTCACTTTCATCTTTGCATTCAGCTCACTGCTGTAGAAGGCATGACAAGAGTCCGAAGAAGCACTAGGAAACTGGTGGTAGCATTAACCAGGATGCGTTTATTTGACGTTGAATGCTCATAGCTGCAGCAGCGGGAAGATCTATAGGCCTCCCCCATTCGCAATGCATTCGCTAAAAGCGAAACTGACTTTAAGAACTTTGTAAACGATGAGGAACGACAGCGGTGGCACACAGGCGGTCCTTGCGGTCCACACTGGCCTACCTGTCCTCACCTCAGATGCAGCCTTCTCACTGTTTGCGTCAATCGCTCTTAAGGAGCCCCGGCGTTACCCTTCAAGACGCACTTTTTGCGCGCCTTTGGTTGTCGGCAGGCGTGCGCGGGGGGTTAAGATCTCATACCACAATTCGTGTACTTCCACGCTCACGCCACCTGTTTATGACGTCAAAGCTCACGTGTCTCTGACGGCGTTGTCACACAGATGCCGATAATGTGAAAACGAAGTTGGACTCTCAAACTGGAGTACGTTATAACCTCCAGCATCACGTCTACCCCGCTAAGTGTTAACCGAGATTCTGACGTGAGTTTTGACTAGGAGGCATTATATGGGTGAGCTTATAGTACAGAATCCCAGGCAGTTTCAATCATTTTTCAATGAACTTCTTTTCACCCGCCTAAAAAATAAAATTCATTGAGAATAACTAATTAAGTACACAGTTTGAATTTTTTCCCTCTGGTATATGGTGCCATTATATATTTAAGCATATTTTGTAGAAGGTGAGTGAAAGAATATTCTCTTATGTCCTCATTCGCTGGCAAGTTATTCCTTTTTTAAACCTTATCCTTAAAGAAGAGGTATCTCTTGGTTTGGAGAAGTTTTTAGTTAATATATATATATATATATATATATTATTTCAGTATTCTTTATTGCGAAAGGTACGTGAGTCCTAAAAGGTCTCTCCTAAATGTGCCGAAAATCAATGGATAAAACTCACACCACGCTATCGATCAATTTTACCTACTGTGATCTAGGAGATGACCAGGAAAAAACATCATTTAAAAACTCACAACCCGGACTGACAGAAATATCATGCCGTTAGGTCGTTTAATAACCAAAAATCTCAAAAGAATCTAAGTAATCCCTTCAAATTAGAAATGCTTTCTAAATTTTGCTTAAAATTCTTCAATAAAGGACCGGAAATGATTGCAACACATCTTCATGTAGAAATATATATCAGCGAGGAGGCACAATGCGTGTAGATTAATACAGCACTGTTTCGGGCTTGTTTTCCCTCATTCAGCCAATCATAACCCTGACCACCAGCTGGTACCGGAAACATAAACGTGCTCTCACACACCTGGCCCAGCTGGTCCACCCCTGTGGTCTACCGGATGGGTCATAAGAATTTCATCGAACTGAAGTTCATCAGTGCCTCGCCACCTGTCATTCTCTGTTGCAGCAGATCAGATATTTATTCAAGAAGTATGTTATTCTTAAGATTTTAGCTAATACATAAAACAGAATTTGTCTTTATGGCCAATCGTCTGGAAACTATGGAAATCATGAAGTTTCCAGCGATACCTCAAGGCCGATGTCAAATTCAATGCAATCCAGAATAAAGGAAAAGTGCAAATGAAGTTCAAGGAAGAACAGTTCTCCTCCTTTACACAAAATGATATGCTTCGATTTCAACTGACATTTCTATTTAAATTTTTTAATTACTGATCCGCCTGGCAGTACGGACCCTTGTGTAAACTTTTGTTCTTATGACGCTCCTATCAGCAAAAGCAAGCAAAACTCTGTTTGCCTTACTGAAGCGCATCTCAATCAATTCAAGAGCTTAAATAATACCACGAATCCTCTGGTAACCGTTTTAGAATCTATACCCAGAATGTAGGCTGTTGACAGACGGCCAAACATGAAATCACACTAATTATTAAAGGATGTTTAAATGTGGACTTCACCTAAAGATTATTTTCAAAAGTGCTTCTATTTGTGCTGTCATAAACACTAAGTATTTTCATGAACGGACTTTCTGTGCATCTAAAAATAAAGTTCACACAATCGCAACCACCGTTCGACGTTTTTGGGATTTTCCGCTGTTATAGAAAACTTGGTATTTCTAATCAACGTATCAGTACCCTTAGCATTTCCTCTATCCTTTCGATTCCCATAAACCTGTAATTTATTAGCATAGATATCGAGTCCATGCATTCGTGCTGGTTTTCGAGTGATAAGCATTCATTCGTAAATTTCAACACCTCTCATGAGTTAGACCACATGGTGTATACAGGGACACGGGAGAGGAGTGAGAGTGCTCTATGGCTCTCGTGTTTGTGCCCGCCTTGTATGTGACCGCCGCGTCAACTGGGACGCTACTGAGGCGATCGACAGGACTAGCATCAAAACGGGGCAAGAATTCCTCGAAGCTTAGCACTCTAACCACCTTGTCGATCTGGATGCTCACCACGAAGATCTGTCGATAGTGGCGATCAGCCGCGAGAGTTCCCAATAATCGACAAAAAAACGCAAGTCAGGGAAGATAGATCGGCTTGGACACACTTTACAGGAGCAAAAATGTGCCGTGCCTGGAGTGGTGAGGTTTGGTGAGGAAGTTACAGTTAGTGTCTGTGGACATGTAAGGAGAGGGCGTATACAGGACGAAGGGATAGAGGATAGGCGCGTTGGAGAAGCAGTGGGTAGGGGAGGACAGGGCTCGTCCGGTGGTCTAAACTCATGACCGACTCGTGAATCTCATATGTGATGCGGATCGTTTTTGTCCCTCGAGAGTCAACCCAGATGGAGCCGTCGTAAGCTGGTGGACTCCGGCAGAGCAACGATAGCCGTAATAGCATGTCGCCAAGTCCTTTTTGAGACGAGACTCGAGGACTAATGACCTGCGCAGGACCGAAGGAGTGTCTGCATGCACTTTCGGAGACGATGCAGGGACGTCATTAGATCCTCGACCGCATCATGAGGGGTTAACGAAATCATCTCAACGGAGAGTCAAAAGATGGCACCATAAACCAGCTCAGCGGTTGAACAGCCAAGGTACGGCTGGAGGCGGACAGGATGTACAACCGCACCTGGGGGAGAAGGTCCGTTTAGTCCTCCAGACCATCTGTGGCGTTTAGGGAAGTTTTTAGCTGGCGTTGAAACCGCCCGACCATCCCGTTTCCAGTCGGGTGGTAGGCTTTCGTCCGGATGAGGGTACAGCCTAAAAGGGAGAGACTGGAAAAGGTTAGAGTCAAACTGGCACTGCGGTCAGTCGTGATTGTGTAGGTTGCACCAAAGATGGTAACCCAGCGACTGAGAAAAGCCTTGACCACCGTAGGAGCAGCAATTTCAGGCAGGGGAATAGCTTCAGGCCACGGGGTGAACCGATCCGCACAGGTAAGTAGATAGGACTAACCGTTGGACAGAGGCAGGGAAACTACAATGTCCAAGTGAACGTGGCTGAACCTTGAACCTGGGTCGGGGAAAGTACCAATGGAGCCTTGGTGTGCCGCTGGACCTTACCCCGTTGACAGGCGGTACAAGCCCGTCTCCATGCGTTGAGGTCCTTACGCCACCCAGGCCAGACGAAGCTGTTGGAAAACAGTTTGTCGGTAATTTGACTGCCAGGGTGAGATAGATTGTTCAGAGAGGAGACAACTTTGCAGCGGAGGGACGGTGGCTTAAATGGACGATGGGAAGGGTGGATACGTCGCATAAAATGGTGCCGTTGCCAGCTGTCAGTGGTAACTCCTGAAGCTGGAGTCTGGAAACATCTTCAACACAGGGTGAACCGACACGGCGCTGTTCAGTGACCATCTCAGCGAGGTCGATCTCGGGTGAAAGCTGGAGGTGAGCGATAGAGGACATGGATAGTGCGTCGTCCACCTCATTCCGTGACTCGTCAATATGGCGGATGTCTGAAGTGAACTGCGAAATGTATTCCAGGTGACGGATCTCCCGGGGGTTTAGTCTTTCAGAGTGGGAATGCATAGCAAAGGCAGGTGGCTTAGGATCTGTGAAAATTTTGAACTCCCGACCTGTCAGTAAATGCCGAAAGTGACATACGACATGTTAAACAACAAGAGGTTCACGTCCGAATGTGCTGTAGTGAGTTTCGGACTTGGGTAATTTCCTGGAAAAGAAAACCAAAGGCACGGCAGAGTCAAGCAGACTTTGTTGGAGAACCGCGCCCACAGCAACACTGGAGGCATCGGCCATCAGAGATATGGTTGCATCAGCGTGAAAATGAGTCAGGAGGGTGGCATCAGCCAGAAGGGCTTTTACCTGTTCAAATGGCGTGAAAACTGCTGGTATAAGTTCAAAGGTGCGTTTAGAATCTACGAGGAGACTGGTCAGTGGTAAGATGGTGTCGGCGCAGTTCGGGAGAAACCGGCGATAAAAGTTCTCCATATCAAGGAACCGTTGCAACTGACGCTTCAAGGTAGGGCGTGGAAAGTTCCGAATGGCGGCAACCTTTTGGGGAATAGGTCGAATGTCGTTTGATCGATCAGATGACCTAAAAACTCAAGAGAAGTGTCTGAAAGTGGTCGAAAAGCAGGTAAGGTGTTGGAGATGTTCCACGACATCTCGATTGGCGACGAGAACATAATAAATATAGGCATAAACAACTGGAAGACCACGTCAAACACGGTCAATGAAACGTTGGGAAGTCTGTGAGGCATTTCGGAGACCAAACGGCATACGAAGGAACTCAAACAAGCCAAAAGGCGTCGTCGCTGCTGTTTTGGTAATGTCCTCAGCCGAAATCGGAATTTGATGAAAAGCCCGGAGCAAATCGATCTTCGAGAATACGATTTTGCCACAGACAGCTCCGGTAAAGTCCTGAAGTTGTAGAACCGGATACCGATCGGACATAGTGATATTGTTTACGACACTTTAATTGCCACAGGGACGCCAATCATCCGTTTGTGGTTTAGGAACCAGGTCCAAAGGAGATCCCCAGGGGCTGTCAAACTGTCGAAACATCCTTAGTTGCAGTATGTGTTCAAATTCAGCTTTAGCAGCCGCATGACGCTTGTGGGCAAGACGGCGGGACGAAAGGAAACAGGGACTTCACTGGTTTTTATGTGTGGAACAATATCATGGGACAATGAGTTGTAGGAAAAATGAGGCTTAGTGAGAGTATGATATTTTGCTAAAAGTGTCGGAATGGACAGTCAGGGTTTGGGTCAAGGACGGATAGCTGGTTGGAAACTGAGGATGGAGGAAATCCTTTGACGTTGAGGGTAGTTGTGCGATCATGGAAGCGAAGTTGCCTGAAATGCACCAGAAGGTCAAAGGCGGCCAAAAAATCAGCACCAAGGATGGGGGTGGGAACATCTGCCACCACAAACACCCAGGGAAATAATCGTCTGAGATCAATATCCAGGGAGAGGGATCGAGATCCAAAGATTGTGATTGGGGATGAGTGTATGGTCTGAAGGACTAGGTCCGTCGGCTGGCGTAGGAGGGATAACACTAATCTGAGCGTCAATGTCGGCCAAAAAACGTCTGTCACTCGTGTTATCACTGGTGTAAATTGTGCGAACGGTAGAGTTGCCAGAGAGATCGGCCGCATTTACCCTCCGGCCGAGGAAAATCCCTGCGTGGACTTAAAGAAACAGGATGGGACACAGTGGGGCGCGTTATCGCCATAGTTTACATTATACCAACATAGGTTTGCGATCCTGGGGCGAGGGCGAGAACGATGACGGTCACGACGAACGGAACGTCGAGAGAGACCGGCAGATCGGCGCAGCTGCAAAGCGGCCACAGTCGCCGACAACTGGATAATCTGTGTCATTAGTTCAGCCAGGTCAGAGGTGGACATAGTGATAGGCTGTGAAACAGGAGCAACCGTCGAGGATGACAAACGGTCAACCTCCATCATACGATCGGCCATTTCCGCTAGCTTTGAAATGTCTAAATCATCTGAGCCGGAGGCCAAGATTGTTTACACTGATGTCGACAGACCTTCTAAGAACATCTCTTTAAAGAACTTATCGTCGATGGCCGTGTTCCCAACGAGAGAGCGCATACGACGCAGGAGTTCCGACGACTTACGATCACCTAAGTCCTCTTCTTTTACGAGTGCGTTATAACGCTGCTGATCTGAGACTAATGTCAGGCGAAAGAGTACAGTCTTTAGCTTCGTGTAAGGAGTATCAGTCTAGGGACCTTGCAAAAAGGTCTGTACTTGGGAATGAATGGTTGGAGGAAGGGCCTCGACCAACTTATAATATTTGTCGGTTTCTCGTGTTACCTTTGAAGGGTGAAATGTTGCCTCAAAGTTCTAGCGCATGGTGCCAAATGTCTGGGAGGGACGAAACAAGTCTACTGAGAGAAGTTGTAGCATCGTTGGAATCCGTAGAGGGCACGGTGATAGACATGATCAACAAAAAACATACAGTATACAAGCGGCAAATTTACTTCAACCGATTAAAGGCGTAAGTGTGAACGTCAAACGGGGTCACCATTGTTGCGAGCGCTAAGGACACAACTGCCAATCCCAGACTACGGTTATCAAAGTAAGACAGGAGTTATGAAAGCATAAACAATCAAATGCCAAACAACCTGACAATCTAACAGATGCCGAGCGCGTTGCGTTGCGTTGTGTTCGTTCCGTTCAGCCAGTGAGTTCAAGAATGTTAAATGCAAAAGTAGACGGCCTTTGTGGGAGCGTGGACCTACAGTGAGTGACCGATCTCATGAAATGTTGGCTGAAATACTCAAATGCGTTTTCAATTACGAAGGATTACTTGGTCGCGGTTGTAATACTGATTATCCTGCGGCATACTTCGGACTGGGCAGGATGTCGGCTTTCAAATGCACTTCTTTTCAATCTCCTGTAGGAAGCGTGCTCGGTAATAAATGACTACTTAAGTAGCATGTATTTTTCCCATTCATTCTCGATGGTCTTGGGAATTCAAATATATTTTATGGAAACCATAAACAAAAATATGCTTTCTTTTAGTCAATCAATAGAGAATCATGTATTTTTATATTTTGTACTTAAGAGAGAAGTATAAATAGGTTTTAAAAAAAGTTTTCTAATTGCCGAATAATTTGGAGCCTGAGCATTCGTTGCATTAGCGCTTAGTGATTTCACTCTACAAGATGCACGCGTTCCGCGTAAAGAAACTCACATATTTTTCTATGCCATTAAAGAGATACCATACAGAGTTTATAAAATTTTGCAATGGATGCGGACCATGTTGTACATTTCATGAAGAGCAGTGGTAAACGGCCAGGTACAATGCCATGTGAATGGATATTTCGCGATCCTAAAAAGTCACATAATTAGAAACTTTTTTTAAACCTAATTTTCCTCCTTCCTTAAGTAGGAAATATGAAGATGACGTGATTCTCTATTGATTGACTAAAAGAAAGCATATTTTTGTTTATGGTTTCTATAAAATATATTTGAATTCCCAAGACCATCGAAAATGAAAGGGAAAAATGCATGCTACTTAAGTAGTGCATTTGGAAGCCGACATCCTGCCCAGTCCGAAGTATGCCGCAAGATAATCAGTATTATAACCGCGATCAAGTAATCCTTCGTAATCGAAAACGCATTTGAGTATTTCAGCCAACATTTCATGAGATCGGTCACTCACCGTACTTTTTTACGAAAAAAGAGCAGGTTCGTCTCCTTTGGAACATACGAGAAGGATGAAGTAAGTAGTAGTAATTTAGAAGAGCATTAGGCGAGCACAGACGTGCTTTCGATAAATTCTCGTCGGGCCAGTGCATTTATATGGGAACAAGGTACAAAGTAAAACATATGGGAGATAAAAAAATTGATTGCGGTTCTTTTTTCATACAAGCCGGGGGTTTTAATAGGGGAAGAAGAGGTAGTAAGGATCAGTGATGGTTAGGTAGAGCCGTGTCATAGGGGAAGCGGGGAACTGGGGCGCGGAGACATGCATGCATTTAATCGACCTTTGGCCACGGTAGACGCGGAGCGCACAGGAGGTTCTTCTGCGCGCACAGGACTGTCCTCCGTAGCCCCTGCAGGGGTAGTTTTTCCATGTCAAAATAGCCGTATTACAGTCGGGGATCATTCGCGCGTCGTAAAGGGGACAGTGGTATTTTAAAGTACGCAAAAACACTCTGTGCGCAGTCATCTTTCGAGAATACTTCTTTTTTATCTGCATAATTCATCCATTTGGCTACGTGCCCACGACCACCGTCTTATTTGAATAATCAGAAGGAAAGCTTCCAAATGACGACTTTTAGCGGAAAAGTCCTTACTAAGGCTTACGGATAACGAGGAAGTTTTCATTGCCTGCGGAACACCTGATAGGGCCGTTGTTACATCAATCACCCAAAAAGTCTTTAAAGGTAATTTTTTAAACAAAAAATTTGCTGTTCTCCGTTTTTTCGACATTTAGTATAAATTGCCGAGTGCATAGGCGTAGACCTTCAAGAAAAGAGGATCTATTGTCACCGAGACGAGATATTTTTAGATTACAGTAGTACAATGTGTGGTTTCGACTTTAGGTGGGCTACAAGCAGAGACAAAGTAGAAATGCGACTGAACATAATCAGACCAGATTAAGTTAACAAAGGTGAAAAACGCCACCCAGATCATTTGAAACTCCGTGCACAAACGAAATTATTGTCCAAAAGGTAAGGTAACTCATAGAAGACGAAGTGATATTTGTGTTCCATCAAAGCCAGTCTGCGTCTAAGTTAGTTATGGGAAGCGCAAAACGGAATTTCCCTCAATTTCCTTATTCACATTTTCTGTACGTTGTTAAGTATTGACAATCCGACCGTCGTCCCGGCGATGTCTACAGTAGTGTGCTCTACCGAAACGTCAGGCTAATAAAGCTCTTGTCCCGGCGATCGTGTCTCCTTCTTCAAGACTACTTCCTGGGACTCGGCTCTTCGCTTCTATTAGTGTGCTCTACAGCAAAATGACGCAGGCACGGTGACTCGCGTGTTAATTAGCTTATAGTGAGATTAGACGTACGCTTCATATACCACACCCTTCCCTCCTCCCCCCACCTAGGTCTGGTGTCAAGGCTGAGTTAAGAAGACCGAAGGCGGGAGAGGGCGCAGGTAGATGGTACGGTCGAGCTCGCACCTTGACGCTCCACTCCACACCTGATCCGCACAGTAAATGACCAGGTTTTTATCAACAACGAAATGGAGGAACGCAGGAGTCCCGAGGTGCGCGACGTCGGCCGTCAACTGGGTCTGTAACCACACCCCGAGATGCGGCATTTACTATGGTGCACATTCCGATAACGCCTGCCAGAACCCAATATTTCGCCGTATTGGTCCAACGCATCTGCCACGTGGCCCGTTTTGGGCACTTGTTAGTGTTACTAGGGTCTTCACTAGTAGTCCATTTAAAGTTTGCAAGATGCGTGTAAATTTTCAGTCTGCTCCTCCGCCCATTTATTCGTCGCAGATGGTCTGATTTCGAAATGCATTTATAGAGACGCTCCCGGATGGCCAACAGCTGATGTTCGTTTGTCACCTAAACATCGTGCTCACTTTAATATGCACTTGTTTACAAGTCTTGTGGTTTTATTGGTCTTCGCGCATCAGGTTATGATGAGAAGGAAACTTAATAAGGAACTAAGTGAATGAGGAATAATCCATCCGGTAGGCGAACGGAGGATTACAACTGATGAACCTTGTAGTGTACCCCAGGATGGAACAGAGAGTAAGCGTCTAAACAATCGCTTGTCGATTTTTCTGGGGACTGTAAGGACAAAGTATGCATGCCAAAACTTGAGATCTTATAAAGAATACAAAGGAACAAGTTAACAGTGTAGTAAGGGGTTCTTTCATGTGCGCCCAGATTGGTACAAGTATCTGCCATCGGGGATCGACTGACATAAGTACGTGCAAGCTGAAAAAGAAACGTCACGGATGCTCGTTTGCGTGTTCGCTCGCCCTACCAACAAACCGGTTGCAAGAAAAAGACTTGTGGCCATGAAGTTCACTGTAACTCTGACATATATGCCAGAAAGCTTTCTCACGAATGGAAGAGGATATGCGCATCCCAGGTTCTTGATTAAAAGAAGACGAAGACTTGATCACTGGGACGGTAGATTTATTGGCCTGAGCTTTCGAACTCGAACTGGATTTCATCATCAAAGACTGCTAGTGTGCAACACCATGTGAACATTTATATCGTCGTATCGTGTTGGGGGGAGGGGGACTACCTCCGTGGCTAGGTCTGGTTTGTGCCGCCTGTTCCACGATGGTCCCCCGACGTGGTAAAGCCGTTTGACGATGTGAGCTGCGCCACCTGACTGCGTGGGCGGAGCGCGTGATAACACGCAGGCAAATCGATGTGCTTATTTATATAGTTGGAGTCCGACATCCACGACTCCAACAGTTCTCGCCCTATCTTTTTGCCGGCTCGCGCCAATATCCGCGTATTGGCGAAGTCGAACCCATGGCCTTCCTCCAGCGTGTGAGTGGGGACTTGAGATAGTGGGTCGCCTCTTCGAACGGCCCCTTTGTGCTCAAGTGTTCGTAAGCTGAGACGTCGTGCTCTCTGGCCTGTGTAGTGGCAAGGACAGTTTTGGCACGGGATTTGATAGACTACGCCCCAACTGTTCACCCGCGTCCCGCCGATCCTTCATTTTCATGATCCTGCTACGCATGGTAGCCGCTGGATGATGAGCGATGTCCGCGCCTAGCTCTGACGCTATACGTTCTGTAGTCTCGGACACATTCTTTATGTACGGTAGGGAGTACCAAATTATTGGTGTCTCTCTTCCGTTTGTCCGTCGTGGGTGCGTGCGTATGCAGCGACTGATAAAACTATTTGAGTAACCATTCTTTGTTACTTGGTCCCAGAGATGCCGTAGTTTTTGCATCCTTCCATCGGGCCGACTACAGTGCGTTTTTATCTGGTCGAAAAGCGCCCTCACACAGTCCCGTTTGTACACCAATGGATGGTTCCTATGATAGTTGAGGACCTGGGTTGCATTGGTCGCCTTTCTGTACACTGTAGTGCTGAGTTTATCGCCAGGTGTGCGCGTGACGAGCACGCGTTTCTTGTCCTTCTCGTCTTCTCTTGTAAACTGAATGTCGGGGAATACGCCGTTAAGTAAGTCTTAAAAACCCAATAGCTTTTCCTTTTCAATAATGACAAGTGTATCGTCCACATATCGGCGCCAAAACGCAGGTTTGTAGTGGCTGGAAGCAACCTTTTCTAGTTCTTGTAGGACCAATTCCGCAACTAGGCTGGATATTGGGGAACTCATGGGTGTTCCCTAGATTTGTTCGTATGTTCTCCCATCGAAGGTGAAAAAGGTTCGTTGGCAGAACGCAATGAGCTGTATTAGGTGCTGGATCTTTAGCAGCCCTGTCGTTTCGTCGTACTTTTCTTCGAGGCGTTTGCGTAGCACGTCGCGCGCCAAGTCTGGTGGGATGGACGTGAAAAGTGAGACAACGTCGAAGGATACCATGATTTGGTCGGGTCGCCGGACGATAAATGAACCGCGATGATTACAACGAGAAGGCACAAGTTCTCCTGGACGACCAACAGTCCTGTAAATCCGCATCCGCCTCGCAGGACAAATCGAGGATTGGCCAGCTGACTGGACTATTAAGCCGATGCGAAGTACAAATGGCGTCACCACGTCGGGGGACCACCGTGGAACAGGCGGCACAAACCAGACCTGGCCACGGACGTAGTCCCCCTCCCCCCGAACACGACACAACGATATAAATGTTAACACGGCGCTGCACTCTAGCAGTCTCTGATAATGAACTCCCTTTAGAGTTCGGAAGCTCAGGCCAATAAATCTACCGCCCCAGTGATCGTGTCTTCGTATTCTTTTAAGAAAGCTTTCTGATGAGACCGCCGTATCACACTATTTCAGGGGCTATTTCCAAATGATGGTGTTTGAAGATATTAGTTCAAATATCCTGCTGGAATGAAAGCTCTATTTCTCAAGTTTTTCATCTAAAAGCCCTCCTTGGTTGTTGATGTCTCTGTTGTGGAGCGCGCCTAGCCCATCGATTTAGGAAAAAAGGCGAGAACTTCAACACAGCAGGCTTTATTTATGTCAGACATGCCGGTCAACTGCCGCGACAGAAACTGGATTTACAAAATACGCCCCCCCCCTCCAGTATCAATGCGCGCGCGTGAGGCGGTACTTTCTCAGCATCTCAAAACACTCAATATAATCCTGTGCAACACGCACAGCGACCGCCTCTCCCACACATTTACACAACGACACCTCGTAAAGACAGGTGAATGCTCTAGCCGATCTTGCGTCACCGCATTTTTCAGGAGGCGATGGCCGCGTTCTGGGCTGTTGAAAGGTGGTAGACCCGTGTAGAACGAAAACAATTAATACTGCTAATACTGCTACTACTTTACTGAAAGTGAACCGCAAAGAAAAACGGTAAGGTTCGAGTGTAAACTGTGTTATTTTCCCAAAAAATAAGTTTCAGGTACTTTACAAAATAAAGTCACATGGGGCTGGTGAAATATTAATGCAAAGATTGGCCGAGTAGGAGTTTAAGACATGGGAAAGCGTGAGGGATGAAGGGAAAAAGAAAAAAGTTTGAAAATACGTGTCGAAAAGAACACGACGGATTGCGCAGTAGTTACGCCGTTTTCGTCTTGATGTCTGGTACGCATGGAGGATCGATCTAAAAATGAAATTTTACTTGACCTATGAAGTTGGAAAACTTAAATAGGTCATTTGGACAATGTACTCGTTACTCGGTCAGATGTTGTTATGTAGCCCTACCGGAAGTAAACAAACCCCAGCCACCTGTAATACGGGGCCGGTGGTAATAGGGGTGTTACAGGTGGGACCAGGGAACGCACAGGCGACAAGGTCAAGTAATTGTATGTAAAAGAAAAACTATTGGGAATACGCGGTTGTACTTTGGGTGGTTGAGAAGCAGCTGCTCTAATCCCTAACTCTAACCCCTAATCCCAACCCCAACAGTATTTTATCCGTCAGGCAGGGCTATATAATCGCATCTCACCCCTTATTCGTAGGCGCCGTTACATAAGGAGCATTTTCGAGGCTGAGAAATCTATTGGATCTGCTAGAGACGTTTTTAAATTTTTTTAGTGAACATTTATTGTGTTTTTTGTAAAGATATAAACTCAGAATAACTGATAACAGTTGCGCTGTGCAAGTTTGAATATGCGTCGCCGATGCGTTTCAGACGTCCGAGATCGGTTCCTCATGCAACAACTTCATTTTATTAAGGATACATGCCTGAGTCTGTTATATTGCAATTTTTCTTATTTGGTAGAGTTTACAACGCAACAACACGCCCGGAAACATTAACTCCCGATCCAGTTTTAAAAAAGTGGTTCGTCCAACTGAACTGGACAAAAGATGTTAGTGGAAATGGAATTGACGCGCTTGCTCTATTCTTGTAGCCTTAGTTGTCTAGTGATGTAGTTCATCATATTGGCACTTCTTAAGAGTTGCATATCGTGTTAAATGCATCCACTGTTGCATGAAACTACTGATAGCCCGCGTTTGGTGGGATTGAAATGTGAGATTTTATCCAACAGATCCGCCTACGCGTTTTTTCTTACTTATCTGAAGTCGTATGCTTAACGTGTTTTTAATGGGACGGAGCTTAAGTTTCCTTTATTACCCTAGCATATGTTTTTAACATTAAAAGTTTATATTGCATACTTTTTCTAGGTAAGGCGCCATCCATTTCCATCGGGGCAATATAAAATTTCGAAGGACCGCGCAGAATACTAGGAAGAATGGTATTGCAGTTGAGGCCATCATGAGGGTTTCATACTCTCCGAGAATTAGAAGGGTATACAGAAGCATCAGCTCTGCTACCCAAATCCCAGTGAAGACAATGACTTGTGGTCGTGGCATGCCGTCAAGCACATTCCATTCGCACCAGTACTTTCTTCTGCTGAATGTGGCTGTGATTAGTTTTCGGAAACGAAGGCCTTTCATTCCGAATATTCCCAGGAACAGGAACAAGCCCAGCAAGGCAGCCACAGGAATGTATTGAAGGATGTTACCAAGGAAGACGGAGATGATAATCAGTACGCCGACAATTGCGGTGTTCACCCGTGTTTCAACAAGATAGAGAACCCTGAAAATAAATATTGATGTGCATCGGTCAGATCTGCATGGCCAAGAATTCTGCGACAAACGTAATATGTTCAACGTTATAAAAGTATTCGTTTATAAAAATAGTATATTATGGCATTTTACACTCCATAAGGTGCTTAACTGTATATATCCTCACAGTTTCCTCTCAGCGATTAGCATTACTAATAAAACGTAGCGTGCAAGTGATTTTTACCAAGTGCAACGTCATTATACATATTATCTAGATCTGGATTTGAATGTAACTTTTGACAGGAAGATGCCGCTGACTTACATTGTCTGACAGTAATAAGTTTTAATGGCATATTTACTGCTTGAAGTTCTGACAATTCGTTGACATTTCTCCAAGGCACCCGTTTTTGCATTGTGCTCATTCTAAATTTATTTCGGCTAAATCGCAGTTGGTAGCCTAGAAAGGGGAAGCGGAGGGCGACCTTAACCCTTGTCCTAACCTTAACTCTAACCCTAACCTCAACCGTTACCGTTAACGCTAACGGCAACCCTAACCCTGACCCTAGCCGAAATCGGAAACGCAACCGTAGCCCTTAGACATAGCCGTAACTGAGAAGCCTAACCGTAATACTGGCGCCTATTCGCACGCTCAAACCATAACCATAACTGCGATCTAGCCAAGCACTGTTGGGGTATCTATTCCAGTGTCCTAACTTGAACCCTACCAATAACCCGAGCCCCCGTGAAAGTTAATGCAAGGTCACCTGTGGCAGTTCGACCGTCTTTTCAGACGATGTCTACTGTGTGCCCCAGAGCAAGGTGGAGCAGAGACGGTGACTTGCGCGTGAATTAGTTTATAGTGATAGTTGACTTGCGCTGCATCTACCGCACTCTCTTCTCCCCCCCCTGGATTCGGTGTCAAGACATAGTCAAGAAGACTGGATGCGGGGAGAGTTCAGGTGGATGGCACAGTCTAGCCCGCACCTTGGCGCCCCGCTCCGCACCCCCTGGTCCACACAGCAAATGGCCAGGTTTTTTAACCAACAGAAACAATTGGGGAAACCGGCGCGGTCGAAGCCGCATCTAGGCATGCCGTCACACCCCGCTCCTCGGAGTGCGGGCGCCATAAAGGCCACACTAATAAGGAGCCATTGCAGACCAGGTCTCGGACCATCAGTCAACCACTCCATACATCACTGGGCCGACTGCGAGATCCAAGTTATCCCGCCAGTTGGCAACTCTCCAAGCCACAGCTTTTAACGCACCGTGATAGCGTCAAGCACGTCAGATTGTTTATAGTGAGGAAACTGCGCCTGATTCGTTGACCTCACTCTCCCTTCCCATCCCCAGGCCCCAGCCACTTTCTGAGTCGACCAGTTGACTGGTGCAGGGAATGGGCGCGGTGGCTGACATATCTAGTGACCTTGGCTGCGCGCGCCACATGCACGACCTGGCCCCCCAAACACAAGCACCAGGATTTTATACAATGGGCGTTGAGCGGCGTACATCTTACATGCGTGAGAGTGCCGGAAGTCACGTTAGGAAGGAGCCCTTTCAGCCTGGCTCTCAGCCCACCAGTCCGCCACTCCGTACAAACAACTGAACGGACTGCGTGCACCGCGTTGGGGCGTCAGTCAGCAGCCTTCTAAGTCGCGGCGCATGACGCACCGTGATAGTCCAGACTCGAGTTACACATGCGACAAAGGAGCCGCATGGAGACGGAACCGAGACGCACACTTCCCACTTGCCTGGGAGGTGGCAATTGGATGCTGCTGGTAGGAGTGATGATGTTGTGTGATGCAGGTGTTGGTGGAGGAAGGTGTGTGATGGTGTCCTAACTTGAACCCTAGTAACAACCCGAATTCCCTTAAAGGTTATTGTAAGTCAACCTGTAGTACGAGAGAGAAGACCATAGTCTCTTGCTTCACCTTCAGGATGTCGCAACCACAGGAGAACCGTATCACAAAAGGTCGCCCTCAATTGTTTTCGGTCACGGATGGACCCACGAAATCACGCGAGACAGTTGGTAGGCTGAAAGGTGCTTCCCCCCGGGGGGAGGACAGTTCTCACTGCATCCACCTCAAAACTTCAACTAGTCACCCAGACGCCGTCTATAAGGCAGGGTCGAATTCGGGGAGCGTTGCATTGTCAAAGGTATCGCGGCTAGATCGTAGTTGGTAGCCATGAATGGGGAAGCGGAGGGCGACCTCAACCCTAACCCTAACCTTAACCTTAAACGTTAACCGTTAACCCTAACGGCAGACTTAACCCTAATCCTAATCCTAACCGAAATCGTAAACGTAAACGTGGCCCTTAGACATAAACCTAACTGTAAAACCTAACCGTAATACTGAAACCTAATCGTCAACTCTAACTCTAACCGTAACCTGAAAACCTAAGCCTAAAGGGCATAACCATTAACTGGTACCCTAATCTTAACCTAACGTAAAACGGAAGCCAAATGGGTCAGATGTGATTATGTAGGCCCGCAAAAAAGCCCCAGTAAACAAACCCCCAACCACCTGTAATAGGGGGCCTGGCTACTAACTGCGATCTAGCCTTTATTTCTTTGTATCCAAGGGTAAAAAACACTTTTCGTCCTAGAAAACTATTAGCTGTCAACACTGCAACACATAAATTTTAAATCGATAATTTTAAAAATTGTACGTAGCATAAATTCACGTAGTAGTCGTTTGGCCCAACATATCTGCGATGAAAATTGATAATATGTTGCCGATCACTTTAAATTATAGAAGAAGTCTTTGCAATTCCTATTACAATCCGAACTTACTTCAGTTTACAAAAATCTAATTTACGGTTCACAAAAAAATGCAAAGACCATTCTTCCCTCGAAAGCGTTATTGTAAACCATACTTTTAGGTAGTTATCATGAAATTGTTTCTTTCTCCTAAACACCCTTTTGGCACTCTCATTAGATAACCGTGTCATCAAGTGGAATTTGGTCGTCGGTCTTTGAAACAACCAGACAAAATATGCATTTTCTAAATACTCTACAGTTTTCCACTAACTTTGGCGGTCTTCCTGGAGCTGGATGCGGTTCCATCTTAGCCAAAGCGACCATATTTGCGATCGTGCGTATTGGCACTCCGGACATAATTGGCAGTCCAAGGAAAAGAGCCAATATTGGATAAACGATATTGGCAAGCACATGATCGACAACGATCGGACTTGGTTTCTTTGACATTCCACGCAGGGGTACAATACTGAAAGTGGCACAGGAATCAAACCTTACGAACACTCAAGCAGGTACAACCTCACCAGAGGAAAGAGGAAGGTTAGTTCCTTTGTCTAATGCGAATCTTCTCGTTACCTGACTTGTGCATTATTTTTAAAGGTATTTTTTCAAAAATTTTGTCCTTGTGCCTTGCAAAAAGACTGCTAGAAAATAGTTCAAAACTTCAGAGACAATATTGTTCGAAGCTGGGTAGTTCCAATGAAGATGAATCGTCAAGCCGTGTGTCTACATATTCGTGTTCTTTGTATACAACGGAGGCTTCTGAGGCTAATATATTTGATATTTTCCCATCGACCTCCGTCGCAATTACCTAAGGCAATCATGCTCCCAGTTGTCCTCTAAGATAAAGTTATTCTGCTTTTGATACCTGTACATCATTAAGCATCTTGTGCGTATGTGTACAAACCTACCCGTTCAGTGCAATCTCGACAAAGATGAGGAAACCGAGAATGAGTCCGAAGATAGCCGCGCGCCCCTGAGCGTAAGAAGCTGAGACTGTGCCGTAGTTAGTCATCTGAGAAAAGTTGGGCACATTAAACCAGGAGGAGTAATTGAGGTGATTCGCGGGTGGAATGCGCAACCTGGAAATTTCATAAGCCCAGAAGAATATGCGGTTCACGGCCGACATTGCAATCATCCCAAGCGGAACGTTCATAGCACCTACCCAAAATCTTACCTTTGAAGAGGAAGAAGTGTGTCTGCTGGTTAACTTGTGAACGAAGGATATGCAGAAGTTAAAGTGACTTTGGAACACTTTCTTTTAGAAGCTTCACGATGGTCATCACCTTATGTGTATGATTGAAAATGCCAAATTCGTTTTCGGGCAAGCTTTATTTAGAGCAGTTGCGAAAAAATGTCATGCATAACAGTTGACCTGGAGATCGAAAATCATTTGGAGTTGTAAAAGCACAAGTGCGACGACAAATCTGAATTGTAGAAAAAAGGTTGTCGAGTTTGTTCATCAAATGCCCTACATTTATTGTATAAACTCGTACTCCAACACTGTCGCAGGAGAAAGAGATACGCGAATCTTTAATGGTGTAGTCCACTACAATGCAGACTTTCTTCTTTCTTATCCGGTTAAATTGGCAAATGCACACTCTTTTGAAACCTAAAAACATTCAACATTTTTTTGTCAGCTGTGTTACATCACAAATACATTTGAGTTTACTTCATGAGTACCCATTTATTTTCTAGCCGAATTAAACTAAACCAATATATTCTGTTATCTTTAGAGGGTATGTGAGCTTTCCTATTTTGGAAGTGTCACAAAAATATCCGAAAATATTCCTACTATTTCGGATTTTCTTCATTTTAGGAGCATATTTGAGCGTCGCAGTATACGCGACAGTTCGACCGTCGTTGCCGACGATGTCAACCGTGTACTCCAAGTAAGGTGAAGCGGGCACGGTACCTTGCTCGTGATTTACTTTATGGTGGATTTCGACTTGCGATGCTTCTATCGCACTCCCTTCGCCTTCCCCACCTGCACCCGGTGTCAAGACAGAGTCAAAAAGGCGGAGGCGGGGAGGACGCAGGTGGATGGCACGGCCGAGTCCGCACCTTGACGCTCCACATAACAAGTGACCAGCATTTTGCCAATAGAAGCGAAGAAACGAGTCCCAGGAAGTAGTCTTGAAGAAGGAGACACGATCGGTGGGACAAGAGCTTTATTAGCCTGACCAGGATTTTAACCAACAACAAAGTGGGAATGCAACAGAGATTCCGGTGCGTACGACGTGAGCCGACCACTGGGCAGCCACCACACCCCACCTCGAATGTTGTCATTTGTTAGGTTGCGCCTGTCAGAATCGGATATGACCCCCGTGTTAGTCCAACGCATCTACTTCGTGACCCGTATTGTAGGCACCGCAGTATATACAAGGTCTCAGAGTTTTAGAGGTCTTAATTTGATAGTTATTAACTGTTTATGCCTGCCTTATTTGAACGATGTGCTCTGCAAATCTCGTATAAATGCTGTTTTTTAATAGTCCCCAACAAAAAGGGAGGCATATGATCCGAATACAGTCATGCTCCTCATTGCATGCCGTGCGCATTTTACGAAGGAGACAACGCAAAAACCTCTACCAAAATAATCTAAAGTGTTTTAAATGCTCTAGGCCTCCGAAAGTGTCATCGTTTGTTTGGGAAACTGCGTACTGGCGATTTCAAACACTCCTATTCCTTTCGCCCAATAAGACCACTGGAACGGGATAATGACCTTTAGTGCGCAACCACTGAGGCAGATCCTCGTCAGACCATGCAGTAATTATCGGAAAAACTGCCTTCGCCAAGATCTGCTTTTAAAAAGCGCACTCAGTGGATGGGGATGTCCATTAAACTAGGAATGTAACTTCAAGGCCAACTTCTAGCAAACAAGTTCTGGAAATTTTGAATATTAATCAAAAACTTTCGGGTCAATCTTTCCTCTTATTAAAACAGACCCTTTAAAAGTTTTTCGATGGCTAGCACCACTTACGCAAATTCTAAAATTTGGAAGATGCATTCAAACAAATTTTCGATAGTGCGTCTTCGAAAATGCGTGCGACCGACCTTCATAAATCAAGACAGACTAAACATTCAAACCCCTTTTTCACCACCGAACGATCACATAGCAACCACTAATCATTAGTCATCGAATGTTGCCAATGATACCGCAGACAGAAAGGGCACATTTAAAGTTATTATCCTTCCTTACCAGGCAACATATCAACTACACGCCTGCAAGCCAGAGTGCCTGTTAAGCTGGTCGGGCATCAACTCACTACCGGCTGGCAAAGTGATCATCTCATAAGTAATATGCCCGTTTATTCACGACCTGTGAGTTCGTTATCACTGTACCGCGACTGAAAACAAGCCGGAAATCATTCCATTTGTCAGGCCATGATCGGTACTTACTAACTGGCACATGGAATGGTACGCGCACAAACATGGGGTTTTTCGACTTAATATATTTCTTGGCGGATGTGCTCTGCGCACTCACGAGGATGTCAACTGAAAACTCAATGCGCATAGGAATTTTGGTTAGATCGCAGTTGGTAGCCAGGAATGAGGAAGCGGGTGGCGACCTTAACCCTAATCCTAGCCTTAAACCTAACCCTAACTCCAACATGAAACGTTAACCGTTAACCCTAACGGCAACCCTAACCCTGACCTTAACCGAAATCGTAAACGTAACCGTAGCCCTTAGACATAGCCGTAACTGAAAAACCTAACCGTAATACTGAAACCTAATCATACGCTCAAACCCTAACCGTAACTCGAAAACCTAAGCCTAAATGCGTAACCCTAACCCGAAAATCGAAAACCACTAACCGGTAACCTAATCCTATCCTCAAGCGTAAAACGGAAGCCAAATAGGTCAGATGTGCTTACGGGACCCCACAAAATAGGCCCAGTAAACAACCCCCCCCCAGCCACCTCTAATACAGGGCCTGGCTACCAACTGCAATCTAGCCGGAATTTTTTTGAAAGTGTTAACAGTTCTTTTATTTTCCACTGCCGCTCTGGTGATAGGTAAGTCCTTTTCTTTTAACGTTCAACAGACATTATGCAACCTGAAAAAGCTTGTCAGCTAGACGTTTCGCAGGTAATCTTTTCTACGAACGTGGATTTCGAAAACTTACACCTATAAGGCTCTAGTACTTCTTCAAGCCTGAGTCACTTGTGTTTTTGCCTAGTTAATTGCGTATCGTTGGGAAAATTCTGAAACTTATTTTACAAAATACAGATGATGATGATGATGATGATGATGATGATGATGATGATGATGATGATGATGATGATGATGATGATGATGATGATGATGATGATGATGATGATGATGATGATGATGATGATGATGATGATGATGATGATGATTATGATTATGCGCTTTAAAGTCATATGAGCATGCTAAACATCGACTGTGTGTCAAAATTAGTCACCAACCAAGGCTTTTAAACGCAGTGCCCTTTACCCAGCATTGCCAACGCTGAAGCAATTTGTTCAACTTGATTACGAGATAAATAAAAATTCATGACCACCTTTGAACTTCGAAAAAAGCAGAACAGTGTTCGTTACTTGGCTGGACCTCATTGTGCGGTACAAACGAACATAATGAAGGCCTTTGACCTGTGTTCCATCGGACACCAACCAATGTGCAATTATGTTCCAAATTTATCTGACTTACAGCTACATTTTGACAATCGCCAATAGCAGTCAGTTCATGGAACCATTTCATCCAAAATACCATGAGATTTGGTGCATGTCGTGCTTAACTACTTACATGAGCTAATACTTCGTACTTTTAGTGAATAAAGTTTGTTATGTTATTGCCTGAGGTTTCAAGATTACGGATGCACAGTCAGAACCTCAGCGTGATGTATCCTGGCGGGGCTAGCGATGGCGATTGCTACTCTGGACAGTGAGCTACTATAACGTCTGTGCTTACTGCCACAAAGACCGAAGAATTTGCTGTCATGTGTGGTATTTGAGAAACAAACAGCAATTTTTGCAAGAAGAATCTGAACTATATTTTGCAGAATCAAATAATGGGCCTTCATGCGCAGCAAAACGTCTTTTTAAGCGATTCTGGCTTGTTAATGTTTACAAGAGAAGGTAGGGAGTGCGTAATTGCCCAATAAGGTCGTGTTTGCCAAATAAATAATTTTTAGGCAATTGTCAATCTTGAGTATGTTTTAAGTGGGCGAGTTTCATCTCCGATACCCTTTTTAGCATCGTGCATCCCATCAGTTTGCAGTTATTATCTGTGCGGATATGGTATTTTTTAAGGTTAGGTCAGTAAAATTAAACAACTTGAAGTCATACATACCCGGCGTCGAATCAAGTGACTTCCCTTAAACCTTACAACTGTCATTGAAAAGCAGACCATTAGTAGGGCAATGAATACGTCCACGCCTGATTCTGCTGCCTTATGCCAAACGGCTTCTCCCGAATGGCCCAGTGTTGTGTTCAGTGGAGGCAGCGTTTGTGGAATAAACTGTGGAATGAAAAAATAGGTTTTACTAAGACCACTAAGCTTTTATGGCTGCAACGCAAAGGATGAATATGAAATCTCCACGATATTTAAAGTCATCATAATTTGCTTGAAGGATAGACCAAGGTGTTGGTTAAACACATGACAGTTTGGCTGCCGCCAGCAACGACGTCCCATCGTGTAGCCTACAGCATAGTCGGCCCAGGACCGGTGACTTTCGCATCAGTTAGTTCATAGTAAGAAACACCTGCTCACATTCACCGCACTTTTTTCTCGCCCACTAGGCTTCGATGGCCAGAGCGTGTCAAGGCGACCGAAGATGGACGTAGACGCACTGGCTGACAAAATTATACTTCTTGTCTCTGACAGTCTGCAGTTAAGTCGGCGGAGCACAGACACTTGGGCTGGCGTTTGTCATCCGTTCTCATGAAATGGCCTGTCTATCGCAGTCGTATAAACCTCAGCTTTGCAGGATCTCAACGTTCGAGACCCTTACGTGGCATTTCACATTCAGTTTTCTTTGGAGACCGTTGAGGTAAAAGTGGTTGTGTGCTTTTCGCCCGGGCTTCATAAACAGTTTACGCCTCTGTCCCGTACATTTGTTTCGCCAGGACAACGACTCTCTACATCTTCTCTTTTATATTAAGCAGGATTCCGCAACAGTATCAGACGGAGTGCTTTAGCTACCCGAATGCTCGACTGGTTTTGTGGATCCGGCTTAAAATTCCGTCTGCGATGCTGATGTTTCTTGAGGGCGTACACCCAAGGTACAGAACTTTATCCACTTCTGTTTGGGAGTTCCCCTGACGTCGAAATAGGGTTAGGTGAAGCCAACGCTTGGCATCGGCTGGTGCAGCATCACTGTCTTTTTGTGCTGACTGTCAGGCCAAAGCAAAGGCATCCGGAGCCGAGAAATTCCGCACTCTGCTTCACGACTTCCTTCGTTATGGTGTTTACCTCGCAGTCATCCACGAACAGTAGGTTGTGGGCTTTGACCCTGGATACGCTTAAAGATTCTCTCATGTAAAAGAGGTTAGAGGGTTGTCCACCAGTTTCGTAATTTCCGTGGGTTCCTGGGAGACTGAATAAGGTTGGAGCAGGTACGCAGCCCGTGCTTAACCCCAATGACCGCCGCGAATGCTTTAGAAATTGTCCTTTTGTTCTTGGTACGAGCCATCATCCCGTCGTAAATACAATGCGTGACCGATCTCATGAAATGTAGGCCGAAATTCTGAAAAGCGTTTTCGATTGGGAAGGGTTACTGAAGGGGATTGGTAATACTGATTATCTTGCGGCGTAATCCTATAATACTTCGAACTCGGCAGGATGTTGACTTTTAAATGCACTTTTTTTCGGCCTCATGCAGAAACTCTACTCGGAAAAGAATGGATACTAAAGTAGCATGAATCTTTAATATTGATTCTCGATGGTCTTATAAATTCAAATATATTTCATAAAAAACATGGACAAAAAATGTTTTCTTTTACTCATTCGATAGAGAATCACGTCGTTTGTACTTTATACACGCGTTCCGTTGTCCTTGGCGCGAGTCATTATCCTGTCGTAAATAAGTCTTATCATTTGAGTAAAGTGACCATAGTATTCGCTTTTCAGCCTGTTTTTACAACACCCGACGCGATTCGCTGTGTCTAGGACCTTCATCCGGTCAAAAGAAGGTGGCGTAGCAGCTGATCTTCATTTCCTGCAACTTCTCCTGCGATTGGCCGGTCGTGAACGACACGTGTGTTGTGCTGCGGCCTTTACGGAATCGGCACTGGATGGGGTCGTTGGCCCAGACGAGTGCACAAACGATTGAGTAAAACACGACGTAGCTTGTTTATACGATGTTTCGGAGAGAGATGCCTTTGTGGTTATCAAATATCTTCTGGCTCTTCTTACGTTTGTAAATTTCAGGACGATGGCATCCTTGAAATTTTTTGTGACTTATCCTTGTTTTCACATTTAAGAGAGTAATGAGGCAAGCTCTTCTCTCAGCTATGGGTCTCTGTACTTGCAGACTTTGTTGCGCCAAATACGGATACGATTTCCACTGGATGCCTGTTGCACTGATCTATCAAAGAGAGGGAGGACGGACGATCGAGATCGCTGATGGAGCCCATTTTAAATCGCCGGTAAATGGCTAGCTCGCATATTGTTGACAAATAACTGAGGACGACCTGGCAGTGCATGATCTAAAGCCTCATAAACCTTGATTTTCGCATCAGCAAGGTTTCTCCACCCCCCCCCCGTTCGAGTGCGGAGCAGCCCTTTGACTTATATGAAGCAGACGACTTTAATGGATGCGAATACATTTACCCCACCTTGGTTGACATATACCCGCATTTGCATTGCTTTGCGAGTAGCCAGGCGTTCTGCATCTCCTTCATCCTCTGCTTTCTAGCCGTCGGCATCTGGGATACGCGGTTTTAGAAGAAGAGGGAGGAAGGAAGACAAAGAGGGAGAAGGAGATTCAACCACTGGAAAAAGAAGTCGACTGGCCCGATCCGCACTCTGAACCGCGCCCTGGAACTCGCCTATTCACTTCTATCAGTATGCAACATTTTGACGTTATATGTGTAGTCTGCGTTGCTCCGGATATGAAAGTGTGAATTTATCCGTCGCCGTCACTAAGACAATCCTGGTGTTGACGGCATGCGCGTCCGAGGGCTCCTATTGCAGCGGCCTGGATAATATTCTGCAGTTTCCTTTACTGGCTTTTGACAGTTATATATGCTTCCAGGGTTTGCTTTTCTGCCAGGCTAGAGTTCATACAGCTGTTACATTCACTCGGCGCTCAGCCGTGTCAGGTAATACAGTATGTAACTTACCTGCCTTACGGTCACCCGCGTGATTGCCTCTGAATTTATATCTAGGAGATGGCAATGCAATGATCCGTCCAGCAGTCAACACCGTACATCACCACAGTTGCGAGCACTTGGCGCCAGTCTTGTCTAAGAACTGGGATAAAGGCCAGGAGTTGGCATGCTGTGAGTGCACCAAACTTGCCATCTCGCGCATTGGGAGACGAAAGGTGTCGGCGGGGAAAAGATTGTGTTCCGCACTGACCTACCGGAGAAAGTCGTTGCTGTTGTAATTACTGATTGTAGGATTGTAAGCTTTTTCTATGTCAGGATCAGCAACCCATGGTCCTCGCAGTCTGGTGTGCGCTGCCGCCTCTAGGGCACCTCGTTCCCTGCCAGTAGATGCGCTTGCGCTCCAGCTGGGTATTCAGATCGTGAGCATGCCTGCCCAGTCACCCCCTCTCCTTCCGACCCGTTATGGCGCTGTCGTTGTTGGCTAGAATCCTCAACCAGGGAGTGTGCTGGTGTGTGCGGGTCCGGGTGTGACGGCCACATGCGTCATCTATCGCCTCCGGTCTTTTCGACTATGTTTTAAGACCGGACCACGGTAGGGGAGGAGGAGAGAGTGTAGTGGATGCTGCGCAAGTGTACTCCCACTATCAACTGCTTCACGCGAAAGTAACCGTGTCTGCTGCACGGTAGACATCACCGGGTACGACGGTCGAACTGTCGACCGATCTTGAGAAGACCTAGTACTCTCTCCCGGACAACGTGGTCTGTGCCGACGCGAGTCGAAAACCAGTCTGTCCGCGTTCGATATGGTTGTTACGAGGGTGTGTGGGCTTTGCAGAAATTGTTTCTCATATCCTCGGTGTTGGTCGTTGAGGGGACGTAGGCACTGATATTGCTGACGGAGTCTTTCCTACTGAGTGGCGTTTCATGTGCAGGAGATGGTCAGGTACACCCTGTGGTAGGCTTTACAAAGTCCTTCCTGATGGTGGAGACGATTCTGACTTCTCGTCGCTTTGCCTTTAAACACCCGCCTCAGAAGGTGTGTCCTGCACCCATCCGCCTGTCCTGTTGGAAAAAGGGTCCCAATGTGTGCCGCTATACCCACTTTGTATAATTTTCGTACACGGTAAGGCGGGAATACAGTGTCGCAACACTTATAGTTGTCTATTCCCCCACCAGCCTGTCTTATGGGCGGACTACTACTACTACTTCTACTACTACTACCACTAATACTACTACTACCACCACTACTGCTACTACTACCACTACTACCGCTGTTACTACTAATACTACTACCACTGGCGGGAATACAGTGTCGCAACACTGAAGAAAACTTTTTTCCCCCGTCTACCACCACTGATACGGCGAATACTACTAATAATCCTAATATTAGTACTACTACTACTAACACCGCCACCACCGCCACCACGGCTGCCAATGCTACTCTACCAACGCTTACAGTATGGGTAACTAACTGCAATAATACTAGCATCAGTAACGGAGTGTTGCGACACTGGTATGCAACCCATGGTAATTGCCGGCAGTATGTGCGTGGCAGGGCATGACCTTCAGTACAAGACTGAGCATCATTCATCCAGGCGTATTGATAACCAGATGTGACCACACAACTACAACGTGGGTCCCAATATATTTAACTACTACCAACTAAAAGCTAGAAAGCGACGTCAACTTCTAGTGAGTCTTTGCACGATTTTTATGAATCATCGCGAAATGCTTTATTTTGTGTTGTCACCAGGGCTAATAGGTAGAAAATAATAACCAGAACGTAGTCCTGTCAACGATCTGCAAACATTTTCGTCTCATCCATCGACACCCGGTCCTGTGAAAAGCAACCCTAAGTAGGCCTTTCCTTTGAGGGTATCAGTGTGTGTTACATGACTTTATATTCGTGATGGCTTGTTCATGGTTAACGGAGATAACGTGAACAAAAAACACTGCTAGAGACCATTTCAACGCAGTCAAATATGACACGAATGAGCACATTACAGCTAACTTGGTAAGCAAAGTTTTATTAAACGAGACGGTCTAAAGTAACCCCATGAGAACTAACAATCTACTTATGAACAGGTTTACAGTAGAATGCACGTAATCAAGTATTATCAAAACGGGGGAAAATACATAAAAAATTGCATTCACTGCAAAGTTAATGCATGGAGGTTCTGAACAGGTGAGGTTAATGTAGTCCAACTCACCCTGAATAAAGAAAACATGGCCTTGATGATGAGAAAGCCCGAGATAAATGCACTAAATAGTTCTTCCATCGACTTTTTTGCATGTTTTGCCAGGCCGGAGAGATTTAGCGACAACAGAACAAATCCCATGATAATCGCGTAAATCAGAACCCATGCTCGAAAGATGAAGTAATTCATGTTCATTTCCTTAGCTTCCTGTAGAAGGCAAGATTAAACACCTGCCATCGTAATGTTCCAACAAGAGCGGCAAACAAATACTCAGCTGATTGACACGAAAATGTACTCGTGGTGCATGACTCATCATTTAAAGTACAACTTCGAGGACTTTTAATATTTCCACCTAATGATTGTGGAGCTTGCCGCTGTAGCTCGTCATGTACTAAATAATTAACTGGGATGATTGTGGCGTGGAAAACGTCTGACTTGTTCAAACTATCACTTACCAAGTTTTATCGATGCAATTCTCTTTTTTAAATAAAAAAGCGTAGGCGTCTAGTGCCCAGTCTGTCTGACAGACATCCAGTGAGTAAGAAAAAGTATTGTGGCGGATGCTTCTTCGCAAGTCCTCTTCAAGCCAAAACTCAGTGGAAAAATTGAGATGACGATGACTAAAAATGCAATCGACTGTTAGTTGGCGTTTAAGCGCCGCAAATTTATCAGTAGTTTTTGCCAGTGCATAATACTTGCTCAACAGTCACTGGTTGTAGTGTCGTTCACGACCTCGCCGCTTGCTGAATACTCTGCCCAGTCAAACTCTTAGCCCCCTTAAACGCGGCGTCATCTGAAAATCTATTTCAGACATAGAGTTAGTGACTGATTTCATGAAATTTCCGCCTAAATTTCGCAATGCGTTCTCGATTTGGAAGGATTACTTACGTAAGAGTTGTAATACTAACTAACAAACGACAGAATCTCGTGGTATGCCATACAAGACAGGATACTGGCTTTTGAATGTACTTATTTTCAGCCGCCTGCGAAAACGAAATCGGTAACAAATGACTGTCAATGTAATATTCATCTTTTCCATTTATTTGCGATGCTCTAATGGGATTAACTATGCTTTGCAAAAAATCTCGCAGTAAAATATTCGTTTTTGAATTTTTTGGTAGCGACCCATATTTTCCTGAACAGTCACACTCAGAGGAGGGACATATTTTTGTCTTAAATTAATTTTCTGGTCAGGAGTTTTTTACGACCGCGCAGTGTCCGTTCAATAGCATTTTATCTGTACGTTTACTAATGTTGCTCAAGAAGTACACAACCCAGACCACCACTATTGCAAATTTCTGAGTCCCCTATGGTATCTCTTAGTAACGCAAAGAAATATATGACTTTGATCACGTAGAAAGTACACAATTTCTGTACCGAAAACCCACAACGCGAAATCAGCTGCAGATAGTGATTAAAATCTTTCAGGGATTGGAAGACTTTCAAAATCTGAATATACACCCTTTTTGAATATAACACTGAAGAAATGATAATTTTTTTTCAAATGAATGCAAGAAAGAATACTTTCATGTGATTTGTAAAAAAATATACATTCCTAGGCGACGTGTTCTCCTTTACCGAGTCCTTTACCACCTTTACCGCGACCAGACATGACGATGAATACGCGTATTCATCGTCATGTCTGGTCGCGGTAAAGGTGGTAAAGGACTCGGTAAGGGAGGAGCCAAGCGTCATCGCAAGGTTCTGCGTGACGTGTTCTCCGTCTACGGTGGCAAGGTCGGGTTTGACCGATGTCACCAGCCTGCAAAGAAGGGCAATTGTGCCACACAACAAAAACGAAAAATAAACTACAGAGTTCAACGTCTTGAAATGCGTGAGATGGAATTTCGATCCGGCAAGACGAACACCCGTGCGAACGCTCAGCAACCCTCCCTATTTTAAACTCCGACGATGCAATGTTTTCTGAGGCCCATAAATATAATTCCATAGGCAATAAAAAGCACCATTTAAATGGAGTTGAATAAGCACTGTATGACCTGAGTTTCCCAGCCTAGACGTCACTTTTTTGACAAAAATTCGGAAATTCTTGTTGGAACTCCTCTGAACTGCACATTTCCAGTTTCATAACCATAGCAAAAACTGAACATGCACATGTATCAAGATGTTCATGGATACGTCTCAGAGCTGGTTCCTGGGACCGAATTTCATCAGGTGAGAAAAATTTATATCTGTTGGAAATACTTTTCTCCCATTTGTTCAAAAAACCTTCCATTTCCTGAAACGTCTGCATCCTGACGCCAATTGGAAGACATGTTTTCAGCTAGCGCCGATGTCGAGCATTACGTTTATCGGGATGTAAGTTCAGGGTGGCGATCAGTTTGCATAATCAGAATACTTTCTTATATTCCCTCGACGAGTTTGCCACATATTACCCGCTAACCGTCTTATATTCGCCATCTAAATTTTAAAATTTTCTAGGGTATTCATCAAGGGCAACGTCCATTTTCTGCAAATGAAATAGCTTATCAAGAAAGGACAAATTTAATGAAGTACTGCACGTAAAGTGTTTTGATGTCTTAGTTGCGCGAACATATTCTCAATTCATTGTCTACGTGCATAGTCGAATTACAGATATTGTCACATTCTAAGTTTTGCTCTCAAATTCGGCACAAATAATGGAAACGTTTTCCCACAAAATTAAAAGGCCTCTACTCACTTTTGCAATGATTTTTTCCATGATGAATCCTGGCCCCGAGGGTCCAATAATACCGATTGGTTGGCCCGCAAAGAGACTATGAAGTAACGTCGTGATTCCGCTGGTCAAGATACTATTAGATACTGTGTATGCAGGGTCTACTTGTTGTCCTAAAAATATGTATTGGAAACAAGCAGTTTCTGAAATTGTGGGGATAATGGTGCACAGTTCATGCTTTTTCATAAGGTACTTTGCATTATTTTAAGTACATATTGCCAAATTAGTAGTAATTGGCTAGCCCGCACATATGTTGACCTACTGAACGTTCTATTTCTGTGATACTTTTATCAGTTAAGCCAAGCACATTTCTCGTTATTTCAATCTACCATATATTGAACAATACAACGACGTGACAAGATCTTGAAACATGTGCTCGAAAATTAAGCAATAAAAATGGCTTTAAATGCTCATTGCGAAGCCCAAAAATATATCGCGGCTCTCTATTCTGCTATTTTATCTATGGCATTTTTTAAAGTTACGCAGAAAATGGCGGATTTTTGTTAAACGAAACGTTAAACAAAAAAGAGTTAAGGATAAATAGTGCGAACCCATCAGAGTGCCGAAGGTGATAGCTGGCGAGAAGATGACAAAGTAGACGAATAGAATGCTTCCGAAAGCCACACTGGCATTGCCTTTGGAAAAGGCATCCTTGAAATCACTAGGGTACCGCTTTACAAGATCAACTAATCCGAGCGCGAGATCACGTAAGGGTGGACAGAGTTGATGATAACAGCTGCTTGTCCACGACTTTATTTTCTCCTTGCTGGAGGCAGAGTCAAAAATAATGGACGGATCGAGTGGTTCTGCGAGGGCACAAAATGGCAATATGACAAGAAACATGCGCAGATTGATCGTTAGTCAACAGATAAGTTCAAATGGGCAAAAACCCAAAAAGTGAAATACACCTCTGCTCTCATTAAATTCTCGTCATATGTCGCGTATGTGTAGCATGAAAAAATGTTCCGTTCCCAAAGTGCATTTGGAAAACCTAAACATGTCGCAGATTAACATCTCCTTTTTTTCATCACTACATTAGATCTGTACTGTCGGTCGCTATCAACTCGCACGGCCTCTTGCAAAAATAGATGTACAGTAGGTGGGCTAACTCATGAAATGTCAACTGAAATTCCGAAATGAGTTTTCGCTACAAAAAGAGTAATTATCTAGGATTGTAAAACCAATAAGCCTGCAGCATAATTCTATAATATTTCAGTTACCACAGGATGCCGGCTTCCGAATGAACCTCATGCCAGGTGCAAGCAAAAAATGACTACTTAAGTAACATGAATTCTTCTCATTGATTTTCGATGTCCCAAATGTCCAATTATATTTCACGGAAAACGTGCATAAAAATATTCACTCTTCTGCTCTTTCAGTAGAAATTCACGTCTTCTAGTTTTATACTCGAAGGAGGGAGATAATTCGGCTTGCAAAAACTTTTCCGATTCTCGAATAGTTTTGAACCCGCTCCGCCGTCACATTTGCATTCAGGGTTTCCAAACCACAAGCCGTATGTTTTCCGCCTACGGAAAGCCACACATTTCTCTACGATAATCAAGGAGGACCATATCGGGTTCATAAAATTCAGCGTTGAACCTGATCTATACTGTTAACTTTGCAAGCCACATTGGTAAATGCAGAGGCAAAAAGTTTTATGAACGGCCATTTCACGGTATTTAAAAATCATGCGATTAAAAACTTTATGAATACCGAATTATCTTCCTCCTTCGAATATAAAACTAGAAGACGTGAATGTTTTCTGAATGAGCAAAAGAATGAATGTTTTTATGTATGTTTTCCATGAACTATAATTGGACTTTTAGGGCATCAAAAATCATTGAGAAAAATTCATGCTAATTAAGTACCAATTTTTGCAGAGTGTAGTTTTTGTTTGCAGCCGGAAGGAAGTTCGCTCGAAATCTGGCATCCTGAGGTGACTGAAATATTGTAGAATTATGCTGCCGGCTGACTTGTTTTACAACCCTATTTAATTACACTTTTCGAAGCAAAAACGGATTTCAGAATTTCGATTGACATTTAATGAGTTAGCCCACCTACTGTACGTTGATTCTGAACACCCAAGCATTGTTACACTTATCTACATTTTCGACCGCAAACGTGCCCCGCAATTTCCTGCTTGTTCTGCCACCAGGAGCGGATTCTCATAAATATTTAACCGCTTGGATTTGGCGGTTAGTGCCTATCATCATGACATCCAAAGAATTATTGTTTGTTTGCATTACCTGGAAGATAAACGATTTTTTCTGAACACTGTTATCCTAAAGCAGTGTTCCTGTTCCTAGTGTTAGTCATCAGAATGGATCACAATGTTTCTCGGTACTTTCTACAAGTGTGCGCCCCTAATGATAATTATACGGATAGAAAGTGCCTAGAAATCAGCAGTTAAATTATTGGAAGAGGTTTGGTCCTGAAGTCCCACCTGACTGATACCATATGGCTAGCTTTCAAGAAACCTTAGTGATGCGATTACGCTAACTTTTCAAATATCACACATTTGCATCCTACCTACAATTTTAATTCACTAAGTGACTGTGTCACGGGAGATGAGTGTTTATACGTCAGCCTCGGTTACTTCAGGTATCAGTTTACACTCGCTTCCCTGCGCGTGCTTCGAACCCTGCTTGAGTCCTCATTATTATCCTAAACCAGCGAGTGACCAAGTAGCCTTGCTAATGGAATTGGTCCGTCGATTCCACTACAGTGGTCAGGCACTGCGAATTAGCACGCGGTTCCTTCCGTAGCCTTCCAGTTCTGATTGCGCCCTCCTTATCCTCTTAATCCAGCAAGTGGCTGTGTCGCGGGGAGAGTGTGTACATACCACGTTCACTCGCTGCCCTGCGCGTACTTCGAGATCTGCTTGAACTGTCCTTCCTTTCCTAATACAGCGAGTGTCCAAGTTAGGTATGTTAATTAATACTGTTTTGATAAGCCAACCATATGGTATCACTCAGGTCGGGCTGCAGAACCAAACCTCACCAATCTTTGTCCGACAACGGTATTAATTTGCAGTCCAAGTGACAGAATTGATGTCTACTCCTATAAACAAGTAGTATCCCTAGGAGCAAAAAGTGTCCCCGTTGTCATTTTAGTGGTGCATTGTGCGAACCTTCTTCTGGCTCCATTCCTTCGAAGGGATCAGATTCCTCGGACGCGCTGCTTCTACGTTTCCGTTCCGTATACTCGCATTGGACCACCCAGTGTTTTAGTTGTTCTTTGCATGCAGCGTAAATTTCATCGCTGTTCACAGCATGCTCGCAGGCCTTGCGAAATGTCTAGAAATATAATGAGACAAAAATAAAGAGCCTGTCTTGACGACATCATTAAAACTCGACGCAAAAAGTAAATCAGATACTGTAAAGTAACGCCTGATTAGAGTCTTTGGGCTACCAGGACACTCAATAACTTGCCCCACCTTATGGTGAATGGAATTAAGAAGTAGCTCCAAGCTAGATTTGCATAATCCCCTGTTCTTTTGCGGCTGTGAAGAAGGACAATTTTTCCGACTGATTTTAGATTTATAAAATACTGCTTTTAGAGTAGGACTGATGGATCTTGGCTCACATATTCATGCATGAAATTTCGGTCTTCGTCGATGGACCTTATTAATAACTGATTTACTCCATATTAGCAGTTGACGTCTGTGAAAATTTATAAGCAACGATGTTCATAAATTTGTGTTCAAAAATCACGTTTTCGGTGTTAGAAGGATCCAGCCCCATGTCTGGACGCATTAATTTGATGCGGTTTATACCCTCATTAAAGGCCAATTAGTCTGCCAATTAACTAAACTCTTAAGAGTTGTCACTCTAGACACTCATATTACCCAAAACCCTGAAACAATTCTTCAATATCATCAGTCTGGAGAGACCTCGACACAAGTCGTTGTGGCACCACTTTTAATTCTGTGAGCGTTCCAATGAGGCCAAAACAGCGCGAACGAAAGTTTCGTAGGTAGGATGTAGCGTTTTTATGTATGATTCAATACTGGCATGTTTGCTTGCGTCTGATAAACCCCGTTATGTCTGGCGTTCACCAGATGTGTAACAATTTCTTTACGTATGGATGAATGTTATAGTTAAATCAAACGTTCGGCCATCGCATGCGACGATGTCTGCAGAGAACAACACAGCAATCTGGACACAGGCCCGTGAACGGCCCGTAATTTCGTTTACAGTGATAACAGACTTGCACAGCGTCTACCTCACTCGTTCCTCGCCATATACTCAGGCCCTGCGATAACATAACGTCAATATGACCGAGCGTGGACTCGGGCGCAGGGATTGACAAAATCAAACAGGCCGTATAAGTGTGCCACGCACGAAACTGTCTTTGAAAAATGCATCAGAATTTCATAAAAGAGGGTTGCTCAGACTCTATAGGAGTGGCAATGCCACAGGGATCATATTCAGGTGACGCCATCCAGCTTGACTCTCTTTTCTGAGAAGATCAAGTTACTCAGTCAGTTGGCAGTTATTCAGGCCAACCCCATTTAGCGCGTCGTGATGAAATAAATTATTCTCAATTTCTTACACTGAAGAATATGCTGAAGTGCTGTATAACTGAATTTTCCGGAATCGGCCTCACTCGCTTCTCCCCCTCCTATGCATCAGTCCCTTGTCCCGAGCTTTTAAATCACTTGGTGTTGACTTTGGACGCAAATTGCTGTCGAGGCATGAAGACTGCCCCTAGATCTGCCACTAAACCTACTTTTTGAGTGATATTTTAATGAGATGAGCGGACTTTGCGCTGCCCGATCGACGCACACTGTGACCCAGTCTGAGACGTTTTGATCAAAAGCTCCTGCAGAGTTCAAGGCAAGTTACCTTATTCCTACTTATATTAAAAATGCCTTCGAGCAAAAGTCAAGTAGAATAACTCAAATGCATACTAAATTTGGTGTATGTATAGTATGTACTCTGTCCTAAGATACGCGGTGACGCGAACCAAGGTTATTTCGGGACGCCTCGTACGTTTCTTACTCTACTTATTCGAATAAACCGTGTCAAAAACTATCTTTTTTCAGGCGGAATATGCTTTTAAGTCAAATAATTTACAAATTTGAGGGTAGGATGGTAGTTGGTAGCCCTGCCCACTGATTCTACAATTGTACTTACTGGCTCGATTTCAAGCTCTGTGATTGCGTTCTCATTATGTCTGGGTGTGCACGCGCAGAAGCCCTGTCAGGATGACTTTCTTCTTCACTTTAACCGCCCCGAGAACGAGGCGCTGCAAAAATGTCTATATAGACTCATTGTATTGCACTCCTACAGGGAAATCTTTAGTAAAGGACGAAAGATTTATCCTGGGCGGATAATGATTCATCATGCTTCTAATAATGGTTCTAATTTCATGCGCGCACGGTGTTCTGTATCTGATTCATTTTAGAGGTACTATCCTAGGCTGCATACCACAGTACCCAGATGTAACCTGAAGGCATAACCATCCGTGTGCTGTCGCAGTATTTGTAAGGGCATGACCTTTCGGAATCTACATAAGATTCTACAGGTCAGTAGTCCTTTCTGCTGGAGATACTGCACTAGGTAGGACGACTGGATTATTTCCAGGATCCGCGAATAATCTGTCGGCCTGCCCACTTGCGGTCCAGCATTCCTTCGCCTTCTAAGAGACTGGGCTCTGCAAGCAGAACAAATTGTAACTTCATATACAGAGTGCTACTTTCTCTTTACATTGTATAGTACACCATTCACGTATAGGAAACAACTACTGCCATAGTTTTCATCCTAGATGTGGCCACAGTGACAATACATTATTATGTGCAGCTTTTCTCTTTCGCCCAAACATATTTTTCGCATTTAAGTCTTATCCCGCTTGCTTTATGCCGTCCTGCGTGCCGCTGCTTGACTCTCGTGTTCTCATGTCCATTCTGGCGGTTAGAGTTCTATCGCACATACTTCCGAATGACCTTAAGACACACTGCCTTCTTCCTATTGATTGTTCGCATTCACTTGCTATTCTTTCCAATCTGGGGCAAGGATGCATTTATTCCGCATACCGTACTAATTATCCATGCTTATTTCTATACCCTCCTGCATTTTTCACCTTATTTAAATTAAGCTTCCACTTTGCCAGGAACGTCAATTCCAGGCATACCCTACAAGCGCCATTTACGCCTCCACTCATCTGCCTCACCCGCATATCCCCTATTACCACCGGTCCCGTAAGACAGGTAGCTGGGGGTTTTCTGCACCGGGAGAGCTACCAACTACCATCTAACCAATTTGAACTAAATCAACCCCACATTGCACTTTACCAATTTCGTATGCTAACGACTGTTCTGGACAAAGTTCGCTCATCTATGGATGTTTAGTGAAGTTAGGGCACTACTCTTACCTGGAAACTTTTATCAAACAATTTGTCATTCACTTTGAAATTGAACTCTCCTTACCTGTATGTGAAGCAAAACATAATGCGAACAAGCTTGCTATTTTTTTAGAAAAACATAGATACTTTGATTACAAAAATTGGTATTTGCAACAAATGAGATTTTTGGGTCGCGTCTTATTTCGTAGCCGTACCTGCAGTAGACAGGCTCCAGCCGGCTGTCTCGCGGGACCAATGGTAAAAGGGGTTTCGGCCTAACACCTAACCCTAACCCTAACATCTTACTCATAACCCTAACCCTTAACTCCAACGCCTAACACATACGGTTACGAAATAAGATCTTGCCATATTTTGTCCTAAGATGACGTAATACCGCATACAGGCAAGTTTTTGTTCTAATGTACTCATAGTTCCCCCATACGTGCAAAGATTCTACCACTAAACGTGGAAAGGCTTACTGTCAAGTGTAGATTTTAATGCTTGACAGCAAAAGTAGATGCCTTATGTGCCGTTTGGTTTCCGCCAACTCGTAATCCAGAAACGGAATCAGCGAAGCATTAACATTTTGAGCGACATCTTAATACTTGTAGAGTCAATCAGTGGGTCTTGGAGCGAAGTCTAAAAAAGGTAAAATAACGAAATTGGTTCCCATTCTAAGTTATACCCGAGTTCTTTGGTAGGGAATAGAAATAATTTTCAGTAAGTTTAGAGACCTATGAAAGTGGAACAAACTTTTCAATATTTTACCAAATTTAACTTGAAAAATGCGGTACTTGGACAGTCGTCAACAAAGTACCATAGTAAGACACATTTTAAAGAGTGAAAATAGTCAGGGCCCACGTTGTCCACGTTCAGTTCATGCCTGCAATGGTGTCTCTCGTTCTGCGAGTTTACAAATATGACCGAGACTGCGATCGCGGCGAAAAAGGTGGCCCAGAAGCCCTCTAAATATATCTTACTTCGAAGGTTTTGATAGACACAAATTACCGAACCCACCTTTTATGGCAGTTGATTAAACACATTGCAAAATACAAAGCCTTCACAGATATTTCAAGGACATCCTACGATTCGGCGGACGCCTCCTTCTCCAAAAATAGCGCGATTATTTTGTGCAGGTTCTGGTTAATTGTCTCGGTCGTAGTGTTTTTGTGAACTCTGATTTTTACCCCTAAAATAATATGGCGCTAGAATGACCACTAGACGCTAGCATCAGACCCTTGCTCGTAATCATTTGCTGCAACTGTATCTTCGGCGGAGCGAAGGGTGTAAAAAGGCTATGAAGAATGGTTAAGTAGGGAAATTACTACTTTAAATAAGGAACGGCATGAAATTCAAAAATTCTAGCAGTTCATTTCAACATAAAACGCATAAACTCTGCAATGGCCACCAGATCGGACGTCAACTGCCGTAGTCATTGAAGGAAAACTATAAATCTGGCATGCCAACGAAACACGCGTCAGCAATTCTATCAGAACATACATGTGTTATTGGAATTATCGTGTAATATAAAACTACAGTCTTTACTCTAACTTTTTTCTTACCTTATCTATTAGCAATGTTCCGAATATGCGTCCAATTTGAACTGCCCATTCGGCGGCCTCTGAATGTGGCGTAGTTGAAATGATAATAAATTCAAGAGGGTAATCAACTTCGACTACCCCCTTTGGACTTATCGGTGTTTCTATTCGCACGAACTGGAGGATGGGTCGTTCCACTTCGGGAGTTAATCCGACAAGGATACAGCAACATTTGGATTTCGGTGCTAGACATCTGGTAAGCTCCCTGTTCACCGAAATCTGTAGTCACATGAAATTACGGTAAAATGAGGGTGGGATACACAGAAACTTGTATTAATTAACAAAAGTCATCTCCTCACTAAAATAAGGGCTTTTATCGAAGTCTATAGTGGCTGCTATGGATATCGTCGTTTTGAAATCCGACCATCGTCTTGATTCGCTGTTGTAAAGATGTGTAGGAATTTGCGGTGGAGCATTTTGACGCCAGTACAAAAGCCAGGTCAAATACACTCATTCAAGGTATATCGACTTTGTTTTTTGACAAAAGCGTGGCGGTATTTTCTTTAACTACGTTTCATTGGCATCATATGCTAGTCCAATTTATCGGCAACCAGTAAATTTGGAGCTTTATGATGAACGAGCCTATGAAATCGAAACTCAAGTTTCCAAATGTCTGACCGGCCGTGTGATGCTCGTATCCTATCCTGTTCCTCTAATGCTTCTGCGCCAAAGTTCGACGGAGGTAAAGCCTTCGATGATTTGTCTTATCTGTACTGCTTAGGTTTGTGAATACGAAGGTCTGTGACCTTCGTGTGTTTAAAAGCAAGGTACTTTTCAAAACCAGCGCTGCAGTGGCCCAGCCGTGGTTGGTCGTCAATTTGTCTTTCTGATCTAGAAGCGTCACAGGCGTATACAGGAACGAATTCTTTACTACACGCTTAAGATAGCAATTAGACGAAGTAGTACACACCTAGTTCATGGATTTCTCATGGCTGCTCCTAGGGTTTCCTTTCATCAGCTTTCTGCTAATCTGTTTTCGCGATTTGCGATATCGCGCCAGTAAACGATGTGGCTCTCCAAGCCTTTAAGAAATATTGTTCAATTAACAACATTACCAAAAGGGCCACTCTGAATTGTAAACTTCTGCAAATTCAACTGCAAGCATTTCATTTACCGCGTTAAAACGTCGGTTATGCAGTCATTTCTACTTACAGTGAGTGACCGATCTCATGAAGTGTTGGCCGAAATTCTGAAGTACGTTTTCGATTTGGGAGGATTATTTAGTTGGGGTTGTAATATTGATTATTCTGCGGTATAATCCAGTAATATTTCGGACTTGGTTTGATGCCGGCTTTTAAATGCATTTCTTTTCGATCGCCTGCAGAAACAACACTCGGTAAAAATGACTACTTGCGTAGCATGAATTTTTCGCACTGATTTTCGGTGACCATATAAATTTAAATTAATTTGTAGAAAACGTGTACAAAATATGCTTTCTTCTGCTCAGTTAGTGGCAGATCATGTCACTCACTGTATTTTCAATTATGCAGTCATTTCTACTTATGTACACACGAATGCGTTTACTTCTGGTGCCCCCCACCTGATTTTTCGAATTTAAGCCGCTAATTTTTTATCCCTCCATTTACGTGGAATTTGTACTTATTTTACATCTCTTCGTTTGTTTGAATTACAATTAAGAGGTCATATATATACTACGTTAACATTGTTCCGAAGGAAATGCAATTTGATGCAAATGTTGCACCATATTCGCCGACGAATATTAATAGTGCTGGCAGTTGCAGTTAAAGGCCGATGTGTCCCATGTGTAAACCTCCAATGGTATTCATTTTGGGTACCTATATTTGTCCACGGTAAATGGGAGGCGTTATGCCGAAAATTCTGGAAGATATTTTACAATAATGTCTTCTTCTCTCTCTGTCTCACACACGATATCGCTTGCATTTTGGACCTTGCTTGCTGGCAAACTACCTTTTAAGCCTCTTTGTTGTGCCTCTAGGGGTAAGCAACTTTCAGGAAATCTACTTATTACCCCGCTACTTAACCGTTTGGACTTCGTGGCCTTGAACTGAGAACTTTGACCCAGTACATTGAGACTGCGACGCATGTTGCGGTTTGTATAAAAGAGCCTATGTAGCATGCGGGTATACCGCAGATAAACATCCCGTTCAACAAACAGTATCGATTGCCCAGTGTGGTGCTCCCTATTCGCCTGTGAATTTGGACAAAAGCTGATGCAGGTGCTGATGAAGTGCTTATAATCCGTCTGGTAGACCCCATTGGTGGACCAACTGCATCAGGTGTGTCTGTACGCATGTCTGTGTCTCTGGCCCCACCTGCTGGTCAGGGTTATGATTGGCTGAATGAGGGCAAAATAAGCCCGAAACACTACTTTAGCAATCAACCCGCAGTTTGCAGCTGATGTATCCCATTTATAGCCCCTGGTGCCGTTTATTTTTTGGTACCCATATTTATTCACGGTAGATGGGAGGCGTTGGGTCGAAACGTTTGGAGGATACGTGCTTACTCCTCTCTCTCTATCTCATACACGGCATTGCTTGCATTTTCAACCTACTCTTCAAGCTCCCTTCCTTCCCCGCTAGTGATAATGCTACTTCCAAGGGAACTATTTATTGCCCTGCTATTTCGCCAGTTCAACTCCACGACCTTGATCCAGTCCATAGAGGTTGCGACGTTTGTTACGTTTTGTACACAAGAACCTATGTAGCTTGCGAGCACACTTCAGACAAACATCCCGTTCAGCAAACAGTTTCGAATACTTATTGTCGCACACCCTATTTGTCTGAGAATTTGGACGACAGCTGACGCAAGTAGTCTTGGGGCCTTTGTTCTCCGGACATTTCTCTGCATTAAGTTGCCATTTTTGGGTGACCATTAAAATAGCAAACGTTATATAAATGTATATACATATGAATAAATGTATATGTTTCTTATGGCTTTATTGATAGCAAAGAAGTGGGCACAGTATTTAAACAATCTTCTTACCTCGGAGATTTGACTCTCCTCATCTGAAGTTCAAAAAAATATCAGTGCAAAGAGGTCGATAAATCAGATAGCAAAAATAAGACTGTTGTGTCAGTGCTCATATCTGTCTATGCAAACTATGGAGACAGGATAGATAAGACTTTCTTGGTGGATGAAGTTCATGTGTTCCACAGGATTGCTGTGTAAAATAGAAGCGTGTCGTTTAACGTAACAAGAGGTCGGTTTAGACTCGACTGATGAACGGGAATATGGCAGAAATAGTCGTCCTAGTCGGTCATGTGGATCTAACCTTTAATCAAATAAAAAGTACATTCGGTCAAAATGAGGCGCCAATGTTCGCGAATGTAGTTGTTCAATGACTATTTTTAAAATTCCCAGAAAACCTCCAACCCTGCCCCCGACTGACAGCCCGGCTGGGAGATTTGTTTAAATTTACAAGATTAACCGCTTTTTTTAAAACCAGCCCATAATTGAGAACAACTATGAGTCTGTAAACTACACTTCATTTGTGGCATTATTACTCGACTTTGTCTACTTTATCCATAATATGTTACTTTTCAAATTCTGGGACCCCCAAAACGGCATCGCAAAATTACAATTGGCGTTGGTTTGTTTTAAGGGTAAGACAGGTAGTCTTGCTATAAACTTAAGTGCCCTAACCCTAACATTAAACCTAGTCCATGTCTAAACCTCACGCTAAACTCAATCGTAATTATAGTCGTAGCCCCAACCTTTGGCCTGGCAATAGCTTTAATCATAATCTCCTTGAAATTTAGCGCAAGACTACTTATATTGCAGGCGCCCCTATTACCATGTCTTACCTTGTTCCGCAGTAGTATGCAATATTCGCAATGGGCATCAGCAGTGTCTAGACTCTGACGACGGCCGGAGGACATCTATTTGACTGATACCAGCACTAAATGTTTGTGAACATGGCTAAAGACTCAGGAGGGTGATCTATCGGACGAACCAGAACTCGCATTCTCTTCACTGAGAGTTTCGCAGAAATAAAACGTCTCATTCGCGATCGTAATTATTATCGGATGTCCACTGTCTTCCAGTATCCTCACTGCAATTAATGTCTTTGTTTAACCGGAGAGATTGCGCAATTTTTGCGCGCAATCACTCACCACCTGTTAGGTTGTGCTTCATTTTGTGTCAAATCAACGAATCTTTGACTGCATTTCAGTAAGCAAGAATATTCTCACGTACAGTCTTCATCTTTTCGGTTTACCGCCTCAGAGAGATCATTGTGAAAAGTAGCCCAGCTTTCCAAGCAAAAAATCTTGCTGAGTATACTGATTTAGTTGCATGTAAAAATAGCCGCCATGCCGGCTATCGGAGACTTTGTTCCTCTTACGTGGATAGTCGGGCGGAAACTGGCACTCCTCGTGAAATCCAGTAGTTAGCAAGGTATGGCACGTCATCTCAAAGTTAGTCGCCTCTAGGACATTCCAGTAAACTCATTCACTTAATCCGGTCTTGGTGGGATTCGAACTCACGAGATCAAGAGCATGACTTGAGTACAGCCAGCGCTATAAACACCTGAGCTCCAAGGCTCCACTGGGAGCCGTGTGTTTAATCCCATTTGGGTCAGGATACGCGTTCAGCCTACTGCAACGTATAGGAATAACCAATTTTGATACAGTAAGCTGACTGTCCTAGCAGGATTTCCTAAGCAATCGGTCCGAGAATCTACCGGGCTCACTTAATTAATTGGTATTTTTGGAGATTTGAGTAATTCATTGGATCCACATGTGAGAAAATCAGCGACCTTGAAGGGATTCCAATCCACGACGGCAAGGGCATGATTTGAGTTCAGTCAACAAGTTAGGAGGTCGTAACAAACAACTTCAGTGGACGTCTAGTCTGCTTGATTATTGGAAATATGAATGAATTAAGAAGTTACGCTCAATTAGGCGACGATTCTTTAGACCAAACTGTTTACTCGCTGATCTCAGCTAGCCTATCTGTCTGACAGATCAGTGCGTGTATGCGCCAGCTCAAGAATAGCCGGACTGCAGAGCTCAAGGATTCTTTCATTTGCTTCGTGAAATAATGTCGGCATTCTTGTTTGGTAAGGTATGGTTTTCGCGGGGGGTCACGTACTTCGCGGAGTAACTGTGCTAAAAGTAAGTGACAGGCGATATTTATTTGTAGGTGCCAGAGAAAGGAATGAAAAGATCTCTGGGTGGCTGCAGCGTTAGGTTGGTTAAGAAGCCCTAACGTATTTAGCGGAGTAAAAGTACGACAATGCAGGGCCTCTTTGACAATGCCTCCAAATGGACACTAAATATATTTTTTATTATCATTATATGGTTAAAATAATGCCCCCTTTTGGTTGGCGACAGTATGGCAGATCAGCATTTGTGATGCCAAAAGTTTCCTGGTTGTTCGTCTCTTTTCCTCAACACAATTACTCCCCGGAGTAAGCGACCCCGGACGTAAACCAGTCCATTGCCTTCTGGTTTTACAGCGGACGCTATAGTCGACGTTTAAATCTACAATGTAACTTACGTGGCATTCCTATGGGACTCTTGCCAGAGTTTGTTACTTGTGGATGGAAAAATGGAATGAAATAGCCAGAGTCCGTATAGGTTTCCGTGTCTGATCTTTGAATTGTTTCTGCCGCTGTAGAGATATTGGGGAGGTGTTCAAAGACGGCCTCAATTGTGTGCTTGTGAGACAACTGGAAAACAAGGTCTGCGACAAAGGAAAGGGCTTGAAGTGTTTATCTATCCTTGAAATAGCATTTAGCATCAGCATATTTTCCATCTGTTTGATATATATGCATAAACATCTGCTGCGAATATAATACTGTTTATCAGAATCGTTGGAAAACTTCAGACGGAAGCTTAGGAGTCATCCGTTAATACATGCGCTCTCTGTGTGGTTTTAAAACTGCATGAGGTGCGTGACAGACAGTGGACGACGACCTAGTATTTCAAAAACAGTACTTTTGCTTCTATGGCGCTCGCCTAGGCGCGGAACCGGCCGCTCCAGCCCTCTGTGTCCTTTCCGCCTCCGGCCTTCTTGACTCTGCCTTGGCACAGGATACAGGTGGGGAACGAGGAGAGAGTGCGATAGATGCAGCGCAAGTTTGCTCTAACTTTAAACTAGCTCATGCGCAAGTCTGCTCGCACTCTACTGTGAAACACACGGTGGCCATCGTCGAAATCGACTGTCGAACTATCAGACGACAACTTGCCAGCGGGAAGAGGAAGGAGGTGAGAAGCTACCCCCGTGTTTGTCTGATAAACCTGGCAGGTGTCTAAGCCTGTCTTGGCTTGGAAAGTCGTCATCTGATGGGATAAGCAGTTCTCCAAACTGCGAGTCAGCCCGGAACAGCATCTCTTTCTTGTGGTCTTTTTGTAGACTCAGCATTCTGATATTCTGATTTTGAAGCCCGGGTGGCGTGTACTGAGGGACCGAACAGATAAAGAGGCGAGGTCAGAGTAAGTCAACCATTGCGCCTACACCTACGTCCTTACTTCCTTCTGTCGTTCAGAAGCAGTAGACGTGGAGAAATAGGGAAGCGAATGCCACGGCTGTCACGCGAAGGCTGCCACTCTGGCCAGTCGTGTCAGTTGTTTTCATTACCTTAGATGGTCACCTAAATGCGGATGGTGCTGTCATCCGCCACATTGAACAACTAGAACGGTAGCACCCACGGGGTTAGATGAAATTTAACGAGAATGTCAGTTATTGGTTGTCTTCGTTTATGGTCATTCACACTACAGTGGATTTACTACCTCATGAAATGTTGACTGAAATTCTCAAATACGCTTGCAGTTCCAAAAGATTACTTCAGTTCAGTCCATTTTTACTAAGGGAAATATAGACGAGCGCCTTCGAAATCCCTATTGGTTGCAAGTCATTGGAGAAAAACACTGGTCAATGGAAAGTTGAAACAGAGATTTTGTACATAATTACAGACAGCTGCCAGCTAGTCGAAAAGGAGCAATCACTAATTGCAAGTTGCAATAATAAGTCCTATGCATCAAAGGTTTAAGATATTCCAGTCATGTCAGGATGTCGGCTTTCGAATGAGCTTCTTATCAACCGCCTGCATAAATCATATTCTTTAAAAATGGCTACTTATGTAGAAAGGATTTTTACCACTAATTTTTGGTACCCTTAAAAATTCGAATAGGCTAGGTCGCAGTTGGTAGCCAGCAATGGGGAAGCGGATGGCGACCTTAACCCTAATCCTAACCTTAACCCTAACCGCAAACTTAAACATCAACCGTTAACCCTAACGGCAATCCTAACTCTAACCGAAATCGTAAACGTAACCGCGGCCCTTAGACATAGCCGTAACTGAAAAAACTAACCGTAATACTGCAACCTAATCGCACGCTCAAACCCTAACCGTTACCAGAAAAACCTAGGCCTGAAGGCATAACCCTAACCCGAAAATCGGAAACCATTAACCGGTACCCTAATCCTTACCTCAAACGTAAAACGGAAGCCAAATTGGTCAGATACGATTATGGAGCCCCACAAAATAGCCCCAGTAAACAACCCCCTCGTCGGGGCCTGGCTACCAACTGCGATCTAGCCTTCGAATATGTTTAATAGAAAACACCCACCAAAAATATTTTTATTTTAAAAATTTGATAGAAAATTACGTCTTCTTCAAGTTTTGTACTTAAAGGGAGAACATCATTCGATTTTAAATCTTTCTTAACTCCCGAACAATGTTGGACCCCACCTGCCCTTCAGGGCTTCCGACCTACAAATTGCATACTTTTCGTGCAGAAAAATTGATATACTTCTATACGCCACTATAAGGAGGACATGCAGGACTCAGAAATTGTCGTAATGGATATGAACCGTGTTGCCCACTCTATAAGCAACATGAATAAATGTGCTGGTATGAGGCTGTCCGATTGGACATTTCAAGTTCTTAAAAAGTCCCATAATTAAAATCTTTCTAAACGCGAAAGATACTCCTTCTTCAGGTAGAACATTTGAAGGACTTAAGTTGCTACCAAATTGGTAAAAGAAACCATGTTTTGTACATGTTTTCTATAAAATCTATTTAAATTCGGAAGGACATCAGGAATCAATGGGAAAAATTCATGTTTCTTAGAAGTCATTTTTTATTAAATGTCGTTTACGCAAACGGCCAGAATTCAGCGTCCTGACGTGACTACACTACTTTGGTTTTATGCTACATGACAATTAATATTACAACCCTACCTAAGTGATCTTTTCGAATCGAAACCGCATTTTAGAATTTCGATCACATTTTCTTGATATAGCACATAAACTGTAATTTTCAGTGCATCCGAATGACCTAAAACAGCGACAGAAGGCTACAATTAAAGCCTCTGAAGGATTTAGACGTCCATTTAAGGTATACGGGAGTGTGCAGAGCATACCAGAGCAGCCTACCTCAAAACTCGTCTACCTTGGTGCATCGCTTGCCGTCGAAGGTCCCCCTTTCTCCGTGTATGTGGTTTGACTCGACACTACGACCGTCGTGCCCAACAATGTCCACCATGCGCTCCACAGCAAGGTGAGACCGGCACGGCTACTTGCGCGTGAATTAGTTTATAGTTAGAGTAGACTTGCGCAACACCCACTACACTCTCTCCTCCCCTGCCTGAGCCCGGTCTCAAGACATGGTCTCGAAGACCGGAGGTGAGCGAGAGAGAGCGCAGGTGACTGACACAGCCGAACCCGCACCTAGGCGTACCACTCCACATCACCTGGTCTGCAACAAACGCCTGGCCAGGACTTTAACCAACAACAACAGCACCACAACGTGTCAGAAGGACGACGAAGGCGACTGGGCAGCCATGCTCACGACCTGCATTCCCAGTGGGAGCGTAAGTACATCTACTGGCAGGTAATTTGGTACCAGCGTGCGCCAGGCAGATGCTTGCATACCCTGAGGTCTGACAAGGAGAGATGGGGGGGGGGAGTAAGGAGAGGGGGTTATGTGAGGATGTAGCCTGCTTCTACCTACCGTGACACTCTGACAGTCGTGACTTAAATGGCTGTCAACCAGCAAGGTGACTCGATGCAACCGGGGGGGGGGCTGCGAGACGTTCTCACCGGCTTCAGTTCCGAGACACCCCTTGAATTTAGCAAGGTAAGTGTGAAGTTAGGACCTAGGTCTTTTCTTGCAAATGCAAACTGACACCAGAACACATCACCGGTCGCACGAACATCCTGCCATTGGAGTAGGGTGGATGCGGAAAGAGAGGGAAGATGGGGTAGGTGCACCGGAAATCCGCTTCACCTCAAACAAACACACACACAAGTCATTTCTGGACCCGCTTCGTACAGCAGTGGTGGACCCCGTTGTGTCCGAGGCTCGAACGATCTAAATACTGGGAGGCTATGTGATTGTAGCGGCCGCTCCAATGGCCCCTTACACGGCGCCGCTTTGTCAACCGATGGCCGTGACAGCCGCGCTGACCCGCAGGCGGCCACCCCTAGGCCTGACCTGGGGTGTCTCTCGTTCAGTTGCAACGGGTCACGGCTGCACCCACAAACTTTCGCCATCCCGTGAGCTTTGTGATCACGCCCCCCCCCGCTCCGACTCCGCCCCTAAACCAACCAATCACATGCCCAACACTTAGCTTGGCTTTCCCTCATGCTGGCATGATCATGTGACACCTGTGTAAACAATACACCGCGACTTACGCTCTCTCAGGCGGACGCTTGCTCTGACAAACAAGCAAATAGCCAACTGACGGCAGCCTGCACTGTGTACAGAACGAGCTGGTTCTCACGGCCCCTTGACTTCTGATCTTAGACGAAATAATGTGATCTTAGACGGGACGAAATTGTGGCGTGTAATTGAAGTTTATTTACCATCCTTGACCCCCACATGGTCATAACTTACAGTTCGAACGAATGTCGACGTTCTTATCCTGCCCTACTTCCTGTCATGCTCCCATGCGAATGAAGAAGCCTACTACTGGGAAGTTCTCTGGACGCTGTCGAGTTCTCAATCCGTTCGTTTATGGGGTTTCAGATGGAGATAGTCCTCGGGGGCAGAAATACCTATTCAGCTGCCCGTTTGTTCAATGGTCTTGACTGTAATCGGGCGTCAACCACTTCCATGCTGTGCAGGAATAAGGTAAAGCCAGAACTCACCCGAAGTAAATGCACGTTCTTCGTTTCGCTCTCTCCATGCGGTTGACACATGTCACGTTCTATGGCAACCATGCCTACACTTCTTCGCCATTGCCGGACGTTAGAGTACTCCCACTAATTTTAGGATCTGACTCCTTCCCTGCTTGCGTCTAATGGGCGCATGCTTACCCCGACATCCTCCGTGAAATTATCAGCTCGTCCATTTCTTACGAACTCAGCTGTTACAAAAGCATTTTTGAAGAAATCTGATTCTGATAGGAATTCCGAGCTCTGCACTAACCACCACCTCGAGCGAAATAACTTCCCCTACAATCTTGAAGAAGGAAATACGATCGCTGGGACAAGAGCTTTATTAGCCTGACGTTTCGGATTCCTTCTCGAACCCATCAACAGAGACAAAGGCAGATACGGGTGGTTCATGCACAAGGGGCTGCAGTATTTATAGGATGCAGTCGCCATGCTACCGCATACCTATGAATATTCACGGCTCCCTCCCCCCTTCATCCGCGATCGTTGCACGTGGCGTGATGATCGTTTGAGGACCGACATTCGCGCCGTTAATTGCTGCAATTTCATCACGTGTTTTGGATCTTGGTGTGATGATTGTTCGACCATCTGACGCGCTGACCCTGGTGTTGGGAGAAGTGTTCACCTGTGCGCTACCCGCGTGGCCAATTACTCCGCCTAGACGAAGTCTCAGCACCGAGTATATAATGGGAAGATCATTGCACTTCTTAATGGACTGGGGGCCAGTAACCCATGACTCAAACAGTTCCCGGCTCATGCGGCTGTCACTTCTTGCGAGAATTTCGGCCTCGTCAAAGTTGAATGTGTGGTCGGATCTCGTCAATTGAGCCGCAACTTGTGAGCTAGCGTCATTTCTCCACACCGCTTCAGCTACAATTTTCGGCAACTTTTGGTTTTGCAGCCCCACTTGATTGATACCGTAAGGTTAACTTGCTAACATAACATACCTAACCTGATGGATTAGGAAGGAAAGGAGAGCGCAAGCAGAGCTCGAAACACGCGCTGGGAAGCGAGTGAAGGTAGGGTGTACACACACTCCCCGCGACACAGCCGCTCGCTGGATTGAGAGGGTAAGGAGAGCGCCATCGCAACTGGAAAGCCACGGACGGAACCGCGTGGTAATTCGCTGGATTAGGATAGTAAATATAGGGCAAGCAGGGCTCGAAGCAGACGAAATGAAGGGCGTATGAACTGATACCTGAAGTAACCGAGGCTGGCATATAAGCACTCCTACCCCAGTGGCACAGACACACTGTGGATTAAAATGGTAAGGAAAATGCAAATACGTGATATTTGTAAAGTCGGCATATTTGCATATACTAAGGTTTTTTAGAAAGCTATCCAATATTGTATAAGTCAGGTAGGGCTGCAGGACCAAACCTCGCCCAATTTTCTCTGCTAGAAGTAATACAGGACTCTAATAAAGGAGTAATTAAAGTGTCAGGCAGGCATCAGACGTCAATGAAAATTTTCTACCAAGTAGGCACCCAACAATTCGCTTTTTCCGGACAATTCATTTTAAAGAGCATCCTAAAAGTTTTGGCAAGCAGTGCATTTCAGAAATTTAGAACGTTTCCGACTGACTAAACCCAGTTACCAGGCGGCTTATTAAGACAGAGTTGCATAAGGCTCATCTTCCCTGAAGAATTACCTCTTAAACGTGACTGCAAACATGGCATATTTTTTAACATAGTTCATTGATGACCAGAATAGTCTGCCAATAAGAGGTCGGGCAAATGGCCGAGTTACGTGAAATATCTTCAAAAAGGACTTCCTCGTGCGACGTACCAACTATCTTATAACGGCGACTCTTTTTCATCTTAACTTGCGAAAATAATTCGTTCATCACATGCCATCGTATGAGAGACGATTCATGTGGACAGATTCTTTGGGGAGTCTGGGTATTCAGAATGTTTAATGAAAAAGAGCGTGATTTATCGTCAAAAGACTGCTTGTTTAACTATCAGTTAGACAAAACGAAACCTGTGAGCTTTTCAATACGTAAGTTTTTGCAAACCTCACTTGGGCATTTGCAGTATGTTTGTGGCTTTTCGTCTCTCTGAATTCAGTCTCAATGACAGCATACCGGTATAGACCACAGTGTATCAGGTCACACGCCTGCGCCCTCCCCCCTCCCCCCGGCTCCAGTCTTCTTGTCTCTGTCTTCACACCAGGTCCAGGTGAGGAAGGAGAGAGTGAGGTAGATGCTGCGCAAGTCCACATTCACCATAAACTAAATCACGCGCAAGTTACCGTACCTGCTTCACCTTGTTTTGGAACACATGGCAGACATCGTCCGCAACGACGGTTGAACTGTCCTATCAGGTCACATCATTTGTACGAGCAGGTATGTCTAAACGAGTGTCAACACCGCAGTTCCCTGCTTAGTTGCGAGGGGTTGGAGCAGAAGTATGCCATCGGCTTTGCTCTGACACACACTGTCAAAGTACTTCTTAGTGCGGGAGTTTGTGGAGTCTTCTGGGCTACCTGGTATCGAATTTTACCTCAGACAAAAATTATTTTCAAAAATGACTTGCACAGAGGGCATGAAAATGTTCCTCTTAACCGCGCTCGTTGTATACTTTGCTTACAAATGCTATTTTCAATCAGACACCTTCATATAAACGGAAATTCTGCTAGAAAGACTTTTTCGTGAATCTGGATAGCCAAAACGTTCCATGAAAACGGGGTGTTGTTTTCACCCACGGCAAACCAACCCACTAGCAGTTGAAACGCAGCAAGTGCTCATTCGAATACTATGTGGATGAGGCGAAAATGGTGAGGTTCTCAGACGACAGCGTTTTGAAGATCGTACCTGACACTATCGAAAACGAGTCTCCAGTTGTTTTGCGAACTTTTTACCCCCTTTTTATATCACGGCAATGAGGGCATACCATTTCAGACGATTGTGCAGCGGGTAACCTCACTGGTGCAATTGAGTGTTCCTACATGAGCATGGCAACGGAATCTCCAGTGTAAATTTGAGGGACTAGGGTAAACGAGAGTTACCTTTACCGTTATAGCACAGTCTATCGATATGCAACATAATATGGAAGTTAATGAAGAGCTTCAAGCGATCTGGTACAGCAAACAACCCCGCGCCAGTACAAGTTATTAGCGTACAATTCCGGTGACCACTCGTATGCGAACTGCTGGACTTGTCATCAAGGTCCTAGTTTTTATCGACCCGATAGTTATGAGTGTGCTCGTATCCAGTTACCTCTAACATGCAGCCAATTTCAATCCTGCTGAATAGCCAACTACTCTGACCCCGGCTCTCAGAAGGACAAGAGCACCTTCAGCCTCACCTTTCTTTACTCGGCTTTTGAAGACATTGATTTCCTCATAGGTGAAGTTTGGCACCTCTGGCGGTGAAAATTCGCCGACAGCAGTGTCGAAGGCCTCCTCCATTTCCACCCAGCGGTAGCGTTCATGCCAGTAGCGCTTCGGCCCACTTGTAGGTTCTTGCTGTCCTCGCAAAGTCCAAGGTACCCCATCAGTCAGCTGACAGAGTTCGATGAACATGCTGGCCATGGGCTGTTCAGCGTCCCCGCCCTCTTCAGTCATCTTGGGAGACCGCAAAATTCAACTCTGAAGTTTGCACACACACACAAGCAGTTTGTCACTGAATTAAAGAGCACAAGAGAAAATTTCAAGAAGGAAGGACACATTTCACGGCAAAATCTGATACAGTAAGTTGACTACCCAAGCCGGATTCTAGGTGAATTACTTAGGAAATCCTGCCTGGGCAGTCAACTTACTGTATCAGATTTGGTGGATTCCAGACGTTGCAGCAGGTTGGGCGGGTAACTTGTGATTAAACTAGCGTCGTCCGGCGGGGCCTCGTAGCTCAAGTGGTTAGAACGTTGGCTGTACTAAAGCCTTCTCCTTACTGCGTGGGTTCGAATCCCTCCGAGGCGCCGAGTTTTTCACAGTTGGGTCAATATGAATTATTCAAAATCTGCCAAAACATCTATGAATCTGCACAACTGTCTGGAAGGAAGCGGGAGGTATGACAAGCTATTATCTTGCCGTTTTGACACAAACTTTTGCCTCCATTTGCAGTGCTCAGATACAACAGCGTGTCCTCCTGCACGCATTAGCGAAGTATTGTTGGCTTATTAATGTATCAACCTCCGCACACATCATCACTCGCACTCACCATGACGCTTGCAGACCACAAATCATACTCTTTTCCCTGCGGCTTAGGCGTGTCGCAAGTAAATAGAACATTACGCGCCTAAGTGAATGCATACGCCTTCCAATGCAGTTAACGCATGAAATAGATTGTTTATCCGTGCAGCTCTTGGTATTTTCCCAGTAGTTTATGATGTCACTCCCTTTCCAGTTTTTTTTTATATGCATCCTCTACATTCAACAAATATGGGCTTAATCGCAGTTGGTAGCCAGGCCCCCTATTACAGGTGGCGGGGGGTTGTTTAGTGGTGTTATTTGTGGGGCTCCATAATCACATCTAACCAATTTGGCTTCCGTTTTACGTTTGCGGTAAGGATTAGGGCACCGGTTAATGGTTTCCGATTTTCGGGTTAGGGTTATGCCTTCAGGCTTAGGCTTTGGGCTTACGGTTAGGGTTTGAGCGTACGATTAGGTTTCAGTAGTACGGTTAGGTTTTCCAGTTACGGCTATGTCTATAGACTACGGTTAAGTTTACGATTTCCGTTAGGGCTAGGGTTAGGGTTGCCCTTAGGGTTAACGATTAACGTTAAGGTTGAGGTTAGGGGTAGGGTTAGGGTAAAGATCGCCGTCCGCTTCCCCATTCCTGGCTACTAACTACGATCTAGCCCAAATATGGATTACAAAGCTGCACACCTACATTACCTCAAAAAAATGAAGTGAACTGAGATAGAAAATCACGATCACTCCATTTCATTATCCTGCCCTGAAGGAGGTCACCGCAATTCGATTTCATACGGACAAAAACAGACTTTCTTGACGATACGCCAACGCATAAATTACATAGCTGCATAACTGCCTGCACTTCATTTGGGCCAGTCAAAGGCCATTATCTAACGTAATGCGCAAGTATGACTTAGTAGTCTTCCTCATTGCTATTAGATAAGAACGTGTAAATTTTCTTGTGTGCTACCTTGTAATATCGACCGGTTCTCAGAATTCGGAATATTCAAGAAAATGTTAAAAGTTGATACGGCACGGAAATAAGGATCCCCGTATTGCAGAAAGCCATGCTGCAAATTCCGAAGGAGATCAGGACTAGGGTTATTGTAAAGGTTCAGGTAAGAGTTAGGGTGTTTGGGATTGGAGTTAGTTTTGGGACGATAGGAGCAAGGGTTAGTGTTAGAATCAGGGTTAAAGTTGGAACAAGGAATATGCATCTCTGCCGGAATTTAACGTCAGGCAACATGCAATATGAGGGGGGTCCTCGGTCTTGCGTCCACCCAGAAAACTCGTGAAAGATTTTGGAATTAATAAAAACTGCATTTCGTATTCGGTGGCAGAGTTGGCAGCCTAGGCAAAAACGGGTCAAAATACTGCATAGATCGACGCACCTCTGACCTAGGCCACCTGCAAGGCGTTTTGAATTATTGCGAGAGGTAGGAGGGATTTTCAACTAGCGGGGTTGTTAGGACTTCGTCTTGGTCGAAAGTCAGCCTGCACTTGCTCCTATAGGCAGAATAGCATTACCGACAAAGACAAGGGGAAATTGAATGTTTACTTCTGGCTTATTGGCCGTCGTCAGTCAACCATACCCAACCCCAAGGTATGCAACCCCTGTGGTCCGAACCTACGACCTGTTAGTGAGAGGTCCAACTGCCCTAACCAACAGGTCGCAGGAGCGAACCCCAGGCCGGAATGACCGACTGATGACGGCTAGGAAGCCAGAAATGGCCATTTCAGTCTCCCTTGTCTTCGATGGTAATGCGTCGCTGTGTGGCTGCTGACGGGGCTCTAGAGAGAGAGAGAACTCCTCGGCACAACGGGACTGATGAGTTCCGTTACACGATCCGTGAATGCCCTTCGACCACCGGTTCCTACCTAGTGTAATGAGGTATCTGGTGTCGCCTTTTGAGGGCAGCCTCACGTAAGGAACAGTAGATTTACGATTGGAAGGGATTACTTAATAGGGGTAACATACTGATTTTCGCAGAGCACAGACCTAAGATATTTCAGTCACAGAAAGATGTTGGCCTCTCCAAAAACCATTCTCATTACTAAATGACTACCTACGTAGCATGATTTTTCCCCATTGATTCTTAAAGGTTTATACACTCACACATAAGATCGCTGGAACAAGAGTTTTACTAGCCTAACGTTTCGGATTATCACTCGAATTCATCATCAGAGACTGAGTCAAATAAGGGTGGTAAATTGCCCAGGTGTTGCAGTATTTACAGGATGTAGTTGCTAGCCCGCTACATGCCTATCGCAGTCGGCAGCTCTCGAGGGCATCACGGCTCGACTGGTCAGGTGTTGAAGCATACAGTTGCTGTGCAGTTGCCATGCCCTGGTGTGGCGGTCAAGGTTATCGATTTCCACGCTCATCGCACGTAGTAGAGGTGCTGACTACTGGATTTTATCATTCGTGTGGACTTTTGGACAATTTGGCTCGCCGATACTGACACCAGGAACAGTGGTCATCCGCGCGCTGTCCTCGCGGCTAATTACTTTGCCTAGACAAAGTCAAAGCGGTGAATATGGAGCGGGGAGGTCGTTGCGCTTGTTGATTGACTGAGGGGCGGAAAACCATGACTCTAGCATTTCGCTGCAGTTTGGGCGCCACGCGCTCCGATCGGCCCGACGATGGGACAGCTTCGCCCTTCGAGAGGTCTCGAGGTATGCGCAGATTCGATTTCTACACAGGTGCCTCGACAACGTTTTACCGAAATGTGTCTCATACAAGCCCCCGGTAAACACGGAGTTGGCGAAACGAGTATTATTCCAACATGGTAGAAGAATGACCCGAGTGCTCCTTCAAGACTGCCACACCAGGCTTCGAAAGTACCTCCAGAGAACTAACCTAGAGATGACCAAATGCCATGAGTTCGTGGGCGATTTAGGTACAACTCTCCTTCTGCAGAGAGCGTCTGAACGTGTCCTGGAACAGAGAGCGATACGTGACGCAGAGCTCGAGAACAAATGTAGAACGCTACTCAATGCAGCGTCGCCTAAAAACGACAAACTGGTGCACAACCTGTCATCAAAGGAGCTGACGAAGGATCAAATGCAGGTGTTACGAAGCTTCATCTAACACAGCTGATGCCAAACCTGTCAACGTGACTGCAGCCGTGGAATCAATCCTCAGTCAGACGGAAACGACGGACGAAATCAAGAACCTTATCCGGCACCAAGTATCGTCTCTCCTTATGGCTCAGAGGCCGGGCTAAGTGCTGTCCAAAGTCGAACGTGCTGCACTTAAGAGACTCAAGACAGATACAGACCTCGTTATCGTGCAGACGGACAAGAGGCGTTCCACGGTTGTTTTAGACAGGACAGGCTTCCTTTGGAAGGCCAAAGCTCTGCAGGAGGACCGACAGTCCTATATCGCCCGCTTAAGCAACCGGGTAAAAAACACTGACACGAGAAGTCAATGCGACGCTGTTGGCATTGGAAAACTCGGGTGCAACATCACCGGCTGACCGGCGCATGGCGAGAGCCCAGAACACCGCCTTGGCCCGCAGCTATGGCCTTCCCAAGGTGCAAAAAGCGGGTGTTCCACTCCGGCACATCGCCTCACTCAAAGGTACTCCAAATTACCGACTAGCAAAATGGCTGTTCCGGTGTCTCAAATTCCTGACCGCAAATTCAGACACTACAGTCAGTTCGTCAACACAATTCTTGGAGAATATTAAGGGGTAAGCCTCCTGCCAAGCGACGTCATGGTTTCCTTTGATGTCACGTCCATTTCTACTTCTATTCCGCAGGACCTGGCAGTCGAGACCATCAAACTACTCCTACAAGATAAATACGATGAAACGGATAATCGCCTTGGACAAGCCCAAATCCTCCAACATCTACACTTCTGCATCAGGACGTACTTTACGTTTGACGGAACAATCTACGAGCAGGTGAAGGGAACTCCAATGGGTTCGCCGGTTTCGGGGCTCGTAGCCGAGGCGGTCCTTCAACGGTTGGATTCGCTGGTTTTCCGACATCACAGGCCAAAATTCTGGGCTCGGTATGTGGACGACACCTTCGTCGTCATCGAACGGAATCGAGTGATGGAATTTAAAGAACATCTCAACGCCATCTTCCCGGACATCCAATTTACGATGGAGGAAGTGGAAAACAACTAAATGGCCCTTCTTGATATCCTTGTTTACCGCAAACACTGCGGTGGCCTAAAAACCAAAGTATTCAGGAAGGCGACAAACACGGGGCAAGTACTGAACTACAACAGCAACCACACAATCAGTCACAAACCCAGTTGCGTAAGGACACTATACAAGCGGTTGAAGACACAATGCTGTGAACTGGAAGACAAGGCTGCTGAATTACAATACCTTCGACGGGTATTCAAAGCCAATGGCTACCCGCGCAATTTCGTCAACCAGTGCCTACGTAAACTAGATGAGAGACGAAATTCAGCCGGCCCCAACTTTCTGCGAGCTCTCCCATGCGTAAAGAATGTCTCAGAAGCCGTCAGCCGTCTTCTCACACCCCTTGGAATTGGGATAGCGCAAAGACCGGAGGCAACAATAAGGCGCCAGATCATGAGGCCGAAAGACCCAATACCACGGCAAGAAACATCTGGAATCGTTTACCGTGTCTGGTGCGGCTGTAGGCAAAACAACTATGTCGGAGAAACCGGAAGACTACTGCGGATGCGTATGGCTGAGCACGCAGCAGTGGTGAGGAGGAAAGACGTCAGGTCCCAAGTCGCAGCTCACACTACGGGACCCAATAACACATTCAAGTTTGACGAAGCAGAAATTCTTGTTAGAGGTGACAACCGCGTGAGGCGCGAACTGCTCGAGTCATGCTTTTCCGGTCCACAGTCAATCAACAAGCGCAACGACCTCCCCGCTCCTTATTCACCGCTGAGACTTTGTCTAGGCAAAGTAATTAGCCACGAGGACAGCGCGCCGATGACCACTGTTCCTGGTATCAATATCGGCGAGCCAAATTGTCCAAAAGTCCACATGAATGACAAAATCCACTAGTCAGCAACTCGACTGTGTGCGATGAGCGTGGGAATCGATAGCCTTCACCGGCACACAAGGGCAGAGCAACTGCACGGCAACTGCATGCTTCACCACCTGGCCATTCGAGCCGTTATTCACTCGAGAGCTGCCAACTGCGATAGGCATGTAGCGGCCTAGCAATTACATCCTATAAATACGGTAACATCTGAGCAATTTACCACCCTTATCTGACTCTGCCTCTGATGATGGATTCGAATGAGAATCCGAAACGTCAGGCTAATAAAGTTCTTGTTCCAGCGATCGCGCCGCCTTCTTCGCGACTGCTTCCTGAAACTCGCCTCTTCGCTTCTATTAGCAGCCTTAAACACACTTCCTGAGGGAATAGTCACACAAATAGCTATTCACGCACTCGACTTGCAGTAAACCGCGTTCGGTTCATTTTTTCAAAGTCGAAGAACGGGTATTTTCCAGCCTTTCATGAGTTTCTCATCACCTTACTAACTCCGAACCTGGCTTGCCGATCTACTTGTGCTCAGGGTTTACAAACTATAAGCCGAGCTTTCCATGGATGTAACACCACAAATTACTCAACGCTGTTAAATGGCGACAGCATTGGGCTCATATAATGGAACAGTAAATAATCATCCCGTTGTGGTTCTCTTAAAGAACAGTAGTAAACAGATAGACGTGAAGCAAGTTGAAGTGGCATTTCACTATCACATGGATCTCGTCATTTTAATTTTTTTCAAAGCCGCCTTTGCTTCAAATATGAAATTTATAGAAGACGTAGTTTGTTACCAAATGACTGAAAACCACTCACGCAGGTGAAATATTTCGCTCGGAGTTTAGGAATGCGGTTGGTCTACAAGGAGGGAAGGTTGGCGCCAAAGTGGCACGAAACTGTTAGCTTCAGAAAGTCCACAATGTCCATAACGTAAGAGAATGAGGGGCGGCAAATTGTTTGATAAGTTATTTTTACAGTCAGGGCTTCTCTGTCGTTCAATTCTTACGATGATATTAGTAGCAGTAGAGGAAAACTTACAAACTGCTCAACACTTAAAACAATTACGATTTTCATACTGACCAAACTGTAAAAAACTGGGCCCCTGGGTGAAATTCGAACCCACGACAGCAAGAGGAAGGCTCTAGTACAGACAGAGCCTCCCCTTTCGCTGACGTGAGTTCGATTCCCACCTAGGGCGTCGAATTTTCACAGTTTGGTCAATAAGAATTATTCAAAATCGGTCGTAACGTCTATGAATTACGATTTTGTGTATTTAAACCTTGGACATTTGCCTGACAATAACGCTTGTTCACAATCAAAACATTTTAAATAAAGGCCACAATGTGTAAGCAACAATCCCTCAGAACAATACGAAGGAGGGCATTTTTCACCAGTAACCGTTGTTTTACGCACTAGGGAATGATTCCAGGCTTTTGTTGCAAATTGTGTTATATTCGTTTCTAAAAAATTTGCTACCACGTCATTTACTTTCTCAATACCTCTTACGCGATTCCCACCCTACTATAATTAACTTTAGCAGATGGGTGTTAAGAAATGCTGATGCGAGGGGAGCTTGCCAACTTGTCCTACATGTGTTATGATTGGATTAAATGCACCTATCATACACTCTGTCCCTCGTTGTCACAAGGTGCTCTTCATATCGTTTAAACTTTCTATATTCTCTGCATATTTGCTTGCTCTTCGTCCAGTAGCAAATACATTACTGGCTGTTTGAACGTTTCTACCGGAAGGGGTTTATTGACCCGAGGGGACCTTTTGTAGAGACTGAAACAAACTGAAACCGTCTAGATCGGTTTCTAAAGACCATAATGTGTGAAGCAGCGCTTGGAGGCGAATGTTCTAACAGTTTGCCCCGGATACTTTAAACATGCTCTGGTGAATAGTTGCCTGACTAGTTGAATACTCCTTTCATTCTGCATTAAAGGGCTCATTTACGCTTTTTGCCCGGTGATGTTGAGAATATCTACGAGCATAGACCACTGAATACGCTATTTTAAGGCGTAAAATGAAAAGTTATGGTACCTTGATTAAAAGCCATACTCACCTGTATATCTGTAAAGTGATAGACCAAATGATTGCTGCAGGGCACTTGGAGGCCCGTGTTGGGGCGTAGACGAGGATTTCAGCACTGATTGGTCAAAAACTAACCACATGACCATAAACAATGATACCTCATCAGGAGGTACATGTCCTGGGAAGCAAATCACGATTTTTGTTGTCACGGGTACTGGGGATCAACCACAACAAAATCGGGTACTGGAAATGTGTCAGATTATTTTGCAAGCTAAACAGTTGCGGACTGAAACCCTACTGCTTTGATGTGCAGAACTGCGTCAGCGCAAGAAACCACCTGTGCCGACATTGATTTTTTCGTAACCAGGGAACGCCCTGCCTACACATGACGAGTAATTGAGCTACAGTTCAGGCAATATCCTCTCTTTTGGCGGTTTGTTTCATAAACTGATATAAACTAAATTTATATAAGCAAAATCTGTCTGTGAACGTCTGGATTTAGAGAAAGTCGTTTTCGTTAGTTTAAAGCCGCAAACCTAGGATAACACAGTAAAACCCCGAGGATTTCGCATTTCTACTCCCAAAATACTTAGACAGAAGCTATGGATACCCAGTACTGCGTGACTTAGAACAATTTTTTATATTCTTTTGAACTCAAAGAGGAGGTTAAATAAGCAGGCTAAAAAACTCTTCCAAGTTTACACTGGACGACTGAAAAATACTTTTTTTCCTTTTTATATTCTGTTGTGCTCACAGAGTTGATTAAATAAAAACTGTTTTGGAGAAAGTGACGTTCGCTAGTTAAAAGCCAGAAACCTAGCGTGGTACAGTGAGACACTGAGGTCTCGCATCTGCACCCCTAAAATACTTGGACAGTGACAACGAATACCCAGTACTGGACGACTTAAAGACATTTTTTCCTTTCTTATATTTTGTTGCACTCACAAAGTTGGTTAGCAGAAAAGGTAGGTAAAAAACCGTTCCAATTTTACACGGACTAACCCTGAAAAATACTAGGCTGTAATGATGAAAACTATCCTGCCGCATTTGACAGGGCGTCCTTCGACGGATAGAGTATGTTTTATGGCCGGGAGTTACTTAATCCGGAGAGCATTTGTGTTGAGCAGAACAGCTTAAAATCTAAGAACTTCGTGGTATCACACAAATTTGATCCTGCATATTGTCATTAATTAAAGGTGGACACTACTTTTAACACTTAAGGATAATAGTAAATGAATTTAATGCCCCTTTTCAGAAATTGTCAGAAATGTATTGTGTTATCGTATTTTTACTCCGACGACTACATTCAATCATTATGCTCCCCCTCAGGCAACAACCACCGCAAGGTCTTTTTATTTCTCTCTCTGGCACGCACACATAAGTATCGTCAGTTATTTTTTTAGCAGAATTGCTCCCCGGAGAAGGTTATCGCTGCCATAAACCACACCCTTGCGTCTTCGCCAATTTCCGGGGGATGGGACATGGAGATACAGTATATGAGCTAACTCATGAAATGTTAACCAAAATTCTGAAATGCGTTTTCTACTCGGAAAGATTACTTAATTGGGGTCGTAATATTATTCACCGTGCATCATAGTCGCACAATAATTCTGTTATATCAGCATGCCTGCTTTTGAACCAACTTCTTTTTGGCCGCCTGCAAAGCTACTCTCTGTGAAAAATGACTACTTAGCTAGCATGGATTTTTCTCATTGATTATTATACCCTTATAAATTCAAACATATTTCATAGAATGCATGCATAAAAGCATTATTATTTTACTCATTTGCTGTAAAGTTACGTCTTCCCCTAATTTTATACATGAAAAAAGAGCATAATTCTGCTTTAGAAAAGTTTTTAATTATGAGATTTTTAAAACCGTGGAATGTCCGTCTATATGACATTGGGTCTCTGCATATAGTAATGTTGTTTGTAACACTAACAATATGGATCACATCCAATGCTAAATTGTATAAACTCCATATGGTCTCCTCTTAATACCGTAGAGGAATGTGTGGTTTTCCGTTCGCGGAAAATACATGGCTTGTAATTTGGAAATCCTGAATGCAAGAGCAACGGCAGGTCGGGTTCAAAATTATTATGGAATTGGAAA